AGGTTATTACAAGAAGAAAACTGGAAAAAACACAATACACGCAGGCTAAACAACATGCTACTCAGCAACCAGTGAGTCAATGAAGAAATCAAAGATGAAATCAAAAAATACCTTGAGACAAATGAAAATGGAAACACAGTGTTCCAAAATCTATGGGATGCAGCAAAAGCAGTTGTAAGGGGAAATTCATGGTGAAATGCGCCTACCTCAGGAAACAAGAAAAATCTCAAACAATCTAACCTTACATCTAAAAGAACTAGAAAAAGAAGAACAAACAAACTGCAAAGTTAGTAGAAGGAAGGGAATAATGAAGATCAGAGTGGAAATAAATGAAATAGAGACTGAAAAAACAATAGAAAAGATCATTCAAACTAAGAGTGGTTCTCTGAAGAGATAAAAAAAAATTGATAAACTTTTAGCCAGACTCATCAAAAAAAGAGGAGAGGGCCCAAATAAAATTAGAAATGAAAGAGGAGAGAGATGTTATAACCAATACCACAGAAATACAAAGGATCATAAGAGATTACTATGAACAATTATATGCCAAAAAATTGGACAACCTGGAAGACGTGAATACATTCCTAGAAACATACAATCATCCAAGACTGAATCAGGAAGAAATAGGAAATCTGAACGGACTAATTGCTAGTAATGAAATTGAATCAGTAATCAAAAAACTCCCAACAAACAAAAGTACAGGACCAGACAGCTTCACTGGTGAATTATACCAAACATTTAAAGAAGAGTTAATACCTGTCGTTCTCAAACTATTCCAAAAAGTTGAAGAGGAAGGAATGCTTCTAAACTCATTCCACAAGACCAGCATTACTCTGACACCAAAACCAGATAGAGACACTACAAAAAAAGGAAATTCCAGGCCAGTGTCCCTGTTGCACAAAAATCCTCAACGAAATACAGGCAAACTGAATTCAACAATACATTAAAAGGATCAAACACCATGATTAAGTGGGATTCATCACAGGGATGCAAGGATGGTTCAGTATCCACAAGTCAATCAACATGATACACCACATTGACAAAAACGAAGGGTAAAAGTCATGATATCTCAATAGATGTAGAAAAAGCATTCAACAAAATTCAGCATCCATTCATGATACAAACTCTAACAAAGTGGGTATAGAGGGAACATACCTCAACATTATAAAGGCCATATATGACAAACACACAGCTAACATCATACTCAATGGTGAAAAGCTGAAGGCATTTCCTGTAAGATCAGGAATAAGACAGGGATGCCTACTCTCACCACTTTTATTCAGCCTAGTATTGGAAGTCCTAGCCACAGCACTCAGACAGGAGAAGGAGAAAACACAGCCAAATTAGAAAGAAAGGAGTAAAACTGTAACTATTCATAGGCAACATGATACTATATATAGAAAACCCTAAAGACTCCGAAAAATAGAAAGAAAAATATTAGAACTAATAAATGAATTCAGTAAAGTTGCAGGATACAAAATCAATATACAGAAATCTGTTGTTTCTGTACACTAATAAAAATCAGAAAGAGAAATTAAGAAAACAACCTCATTTACAATTGCATCAAAAAGAATAAGATACCTAGGAATAAATTTAACCAAGGAGGTAAAAGACATGTACTCTGAAAACCGTAAGACACTGATGAAAGAAATTGAAGATGATGCAAATGAAGAAATATACCATATTCATGGATTAGAAGAATTAATATTGTTAAAATGTCCACACTACCCAAAGCAGTCTACGGATTCAGAGCAATCCCTATCAAAATACCAGTGGCATTTTACACAGAACTAGAACAGTTCATCCTGAAATTTGTGTGGAACCAGAAAAGATCCCTAACAGCCAGAGCAGTCTTGAGAAAGAACAAAGCGGGAAGTATCGTGCTCCTTAATATCAAACTATACTACAAAGCAATAGTAATCAAATCTGTATGGTACTAGCACAAAAATAAACACATCGATCAGTGGAACAGAATAGAGAGCCCAGAAATAAACCCAGACTTTTATGGTCAAATAATCTGTGGCAAAGAAGGCAAGAATATACAATGGGGAAAAGATAGGCTCTTCAGTAAGTGATGTTGGGAAAACTAGACAGCTACATGCAAAAGAATTAAACTAGATGACTTTTTTATACCATATACAAAAATAAACTCAAAATGTTTTGAAGACTTAAGACCTGACGCCATAAAACTCCTAGAAGAAAACAGAGGCAGTCAGCTCCTTGACATCCATCTTAGCAATGTTTTTATGGGTCTGTCTCCTCAGGCAAAAGCAGCAAAAGCAAAAATAAACAAATGGGACTACATCAAACTAGAAAGCTTTTGCCCAGCAAGAAAAACCATCAACAAGACGAAAAGGCAGCCTACTGAAAGGGAGAAGATATTTGTAAATGATATATCTAATAAGGGGTTAATATCCAAAATATGTAAAGTACTCATATAACTCAATTTCCAAAAACAAAAAATCTAATTAGAAAATTGGCAGAGGACGTGAATAAACGTCTTTCCAAAGAAGACATACAGATGGCCAACAGACACATGAAAAGATGCTCGACACTAATAATCAGGGAAGTGCAAATCAAAACCACAGTGAGATATCACCTCACACCTACCAGAATGGCTATTATCAAAAAGACAACAAATAACAAGGTTGGCAAGCATGTGGAGAAAAGGGAACCCTCGTACACTGTTGGTGGGAATGTAAAATGGTGCAGCCAGTACGGAAAACAATATGGAGGTTCTTCAGAAAATTAAAAATACAATTACCATATGATCTAGCAATTCCACTTATGAGTAGTTTTTGAAGAAAACAAAAACACTAATTGAAAAAGATATATGCACTCCTATGTTCATTGCAGCATTATTTACAGTAGCCAAGACACAGAAGCACCCTGTGTGTCCATCGATAGATGACAGTATCGAGAAGACGTGGTATGTATATATGATGGAATGTTAGCCATAACAAAGAATGAAATCTTGCCATTTGCAACAACATGGATGCACCTAGAGGTTATTATTGCTAGGTGAAATAAGTTGGAGAAGGACAAATACTGTATGATTTCACTTATATGTGGAATCTAAAAGACAAACAAAGCCGAAACAGACTCATAGATACAAGAAGCTAACTGGTGGTTACCAGAGTGGAGAGGGGTTGGGGTGGGCAAAATAGGTGAAGGGGATTAAGAGGTACAAGCTTCCAGTTATAAAATTAATAAATCGTGGGCATGTAATGTACAGCATAGGGAGTGTAGTCAGTGATATCATAATAACTTTCTACAATGACAGATGGTTGCTAGACTTGCTGTGGTGGTCATTCTGTAATGTATATAAATGTTGAATCACTATGTTGTACAGGCGAAACTAATAAAATATTGTATGTCAACTAGAGTTCAATTTCAAAAATAAAGGAAGGACACCTAATCTAGATTTTGGAATATATATTGTGAAATTAATAGAAGAAACCTCTACTAAATTGGAGTCAGGAAGGCTTGTAGGAGCAGCCCTCAGGCTGTGTTGTATAGCGTCAGTTACTCCAAATAGGAAGAGACATATGCTTGCATGTCCAACAGGAAGGGTGTTTGCTGCCCTACTACAGGCAACAGCCCAGCCAACGAGAGACCATAGCAACCCAGCCAATGAGAGACCGTAGCGACCCAGCCAATGAGAGATCGTAGCGACCCAGCCAATGAGAGATCGTAGCGACCCAGCCAATGAGAGATCGTAGTGACCCAGCCAACGAGAGACCGTAGCAGCCCAGCCAGTGGGAGACCTTAGCAGCCCAGCCCATCAGAGACGTAGCAGCCAAGCAAATGAGAGACCTTAGTAGTGCAGCCAACGAGAGACCTTTGCACTCTGGACTCCAGTCTCCTCCAGTGGACTCTTCTTTTATTATATCCTCTCCTTACTCTCCCTTTTTCTCCATAAAAGCGAGACCTTCCTTTCGTTTCTCTAGATTTGCCTATCGTCGCCATAGCCTGCACATCCCAAATTGCAAGTCCTCTGTCTATTCCCAAGTAAACTCGTTTTTTTCAGGTTAAATTAATTAATTAATTACCTTAAAAATAATATGTAGATAAAAGACTTTTGGATAGGCTGATGTTAATCAGAAGATACTTTTCCCTGAATTTCCTGTAATATCTGCCTCTAGTCTCGAAATTGTATTATCTGGAGTAATTTTAATTTCTCAGGATTTTAGTTTTCAGTTAGTGCTAATAATGAAAATCCTCAGTTGAAATTGTAGGCTATTGGCCGTTTCAGTGTCCTGTTGGATATAGGGAATTAAGTGGGAACTGGAGACAACAGGAAGTGACAGCAAAGAACTTGGGGGAGAACAGGAAGGATGGTTTGCTTTTCTGCCCGGGTGACGATACAGCTCTGAGAGCTTTCCAGCATCAAGAGAAGTGGGCGTGGAGCCCACAAGGAATTCTGTCTCTTGATGCTTCCCCTTTCTCTTCAATCACTTTCATGACTTTATTTTTCAATTTAAGCCTTAATCCAATGGTAATGGTGGTCTACACGTTTATGAATTTTTAATTCTGTAGAATATTCGTGGTTTTTTTCTTTAAAAATAACTCCATAAAGGATTTATCACTTAGGAGTTTTTTCTTGAATATACCAGAGCTGCAGCAATTGTGTTTATTTAAAATAAGGATTCCTTAGGCCACTGGTTTTCAAACTTTAGTAGTGTATCAGACTCGCCTAGAAGGATTTTTAAAACACAGATTGTTAGATGCCACCCCCACATTTCTGATTCGGTAACTCTGGGGCAAGGCCAGAGAGTTTGCGTTTCTAACAAGAGCCCAGGTGATGCTAAAACTGCTGGTGCTGAAGCCACATTTCGAGAACCACCGCAGTGCAGCATTATCACAGGAGTCTGAGAAGGAGCCGAATGGAATCTGTGCTGAGTGAACTCTGAGTTGCTTGTAATGTGAGCAGAGTTATTCCTATTGGACGGGTACCAACAATGGTCATTTAATGGAGTATTGTCTTTTATGTATTTTTATAGATTGGAGCATATGATCAACAAATATGGGAAAAATCTGTTGAACAAAGAGAAATCAAGGTAACAAGTGTATTTCATTTTGTATATTCTGAAACAGTAATTCTGTAAATTGGTTATTAACTACATTTTACTTAATATCTTTCCATATACTTTTAAGGTATAAGTTAATATTACTTTATCTAAACTTCTAAATAAAGGGGTAAACTCTTTTATGATGGTGATTTGTCTTTACCTCTGATGATTTTTTTTTCTTTTTGCTTTTTAGCATCTTTCTGTTCTTTTAAAATTTAATTTCTAATGGTTATTTTTTGTCAGCTCTTTTCCCCTTTCACTTGTCGCCTTATACTTCTAGTTTGCTTTTCCTCCCTTTTGATGCTGTCATTGCTCTGTACAGTTTCTTAAACTGGTAAGTGTCTCAGGATTTTCCCGCTTAAGTGGTCCCGTGCCTGCCCTGCCTAATGGGGATCCACTTTCTGGTGCCACTAACGGAATGACATGGGCGCAAACAGAGTCGCTGAAAAGTTGGTCATTTTTAAAAACAATTTAGGAAGTAAAGCATTAATTAAAATGTTTCTGTAGTGGGTAGTTTGTTCTTGAACATGTGATCCCCTGTGCTGATAAGACATTCTCATAGGCTTCCTTGATAGCATGAAGACTATTTTTTAACTAAATTTGTTCTGTCTCAGCAACCACTCCCTTTTGGTAATAAGATTTCTATTTTTCATTTGCATAGATAATACTAATCAGTGTGTTTCTGCACGAGCTAAATTTAATCTGGGCCCAGAGAATGTTACTTTAGTTGCTTGACATTTTCTGTTTTATTAGATGGAAAACCAATGTCTAGTTACTTAAAAATGTGTCAAAAAATCCTCAGTGTTTAGACAGTCATCTGTAATAAAGAGCAAGATTCTTTGCCACTTGTCATTTTGATCTTTAAACTATTTTCGTGAAGAATTAACATAGTTAACAAAGTTGCAGTAAGCACGTACTATGTGTTAGATATAGGATTAAATCATGGAGACAAAAAGATGAAATAGATTATAATTTTGTAGATGAGGTACATAATTACGGATGAGATAAACTCAGTTGAGAGAGAGCTGTGTCAGTCTCCCTTGGGGAACACAGAGGGACGCTGCCCTGGGGAGGTTAGGAAAGACTTCAGGGAGGAAGCGACTCATGAGCTGAGTCTGAGAGACACTGGGAGAATGAGGAAAACATTGCTGGCAGAATGAAGAGCGTCTGAAATATACAGAAAGGAAGGCAGGTGGCTGACTCAGGCGTCCTCTAGGAGCTTGGCTGGTCGTAGGTTGGATGGAGGAAGGAGATTAGGGTGGTTAGGAGTTAAACTGGAAAGGAAAGTGGAAGTCAGATAGTGACGGGCCTTGGCTGCCTTCCCCAGGAGTCTGGACATAATTTGGAAACCAGTGGGGGTGACACTGAAGGGTTTTAAGCAGAAAAAGTTACCTGATTGAATTTCTGTTTTAACAAGTCGTTCACACAGCACTAAGTGAGACGGGCGATGCTAGAAGAGGAGCAGATGTGGGATTCTGATCTAGAGACACCCAGGCGGTCCTTGGCAGAGAGATTTGGGAGTCCTCAGTGTGTAGAGTGTGTATATAGACACGTATACATGTGTGTGATCTAGATTATGTGTTATACACATTGTGGAGGTGTAGCTGCAGGAGTGAGAAGATTCACACTGAACGATGAGAGAAGAAGGCTGAGAGCAGAACACTGGGCAACGTCAACATTTAATGGATAGGTCAAGGAAGAGATGAAAATGCGGGAGGAAAGAGAAGAGAGCCGTTAGACCGTGGTCTGGCGAGAGTGTCATGAAGGGTTGGAATAGTCAAGCGAATAGAGAGCAGCAGAGAGGTCTAGTAAGACGCCTTAAGATCTTTCATTCTCTTTGACAGTCTTAAACTTGTCGGACAGGGCATAGTAAGTACCCCAAGACGCTGTGTTACCAGTTGGCACATTTGGATGTTTTTTGAAATTTAAAAACCACAAAAAAAAAAATATGAATAATTTTTTAGTTTTAAGCCACTCATCACAAATTAACTACATTACTTATGTAATTTCCTCAATTTAAAAAAAAAAATGTTTTTTGATGAGGAAGGTTGTCGCTGAGCTAAGATCTCTGTGGAGCTTCCTCTAGTTTGTATGTGGGACGCCCCCACAGCGTGGCTTGATGAGCGGTGGGTAGGTCCGCACCCAGGATCTGAACCCGTGAACCCTGGGCCACCAAAGTAGAGTGGAGGTTAGAGTAAGGAAGAAGGGTTATATTATGTTCTTTGGTGAGCTGACAGGATGAACTCACGGAAGGCTAAGACCCATAACTTGTTTCTGAATTGTGTCTGTCTTTGTAATTGTAAATAGAGAATTAAAAACAGTATTAAAACTACTTTTGTTATTTTGAATTAAAAGAGTCAGTTTGTTGACAAGCTTAAAAGCACGTTCCATTTTTTCTGAATATTTTAGTGGAGGCAAATTATTTATAGTATAAAATAATTTTGTGTCTATTCTAAGGAGAGTAGAGAAGTGCATAATGTGCCATATTAATGTTAATATTTGATTTAAAAAACCGAAACCACTGTACCTCTTATTTAGAGAACACCGGACCAAATATATTGTGTGCAATCAGTTCTCTCATTATCTGTCAGAGCAGTGAGCAGCAACCAAAGAAATCAAAGGAAGCCATGAAACTGTATTTCTTGGAAGTGTTTACTTTTTAAAGACCATATTGCTAAAGCATAAAGTCCTTTGTAAGTTGCAAATTATTTTTTCTTAAGCATTTTAGAAATTATAACTGGAAACTCATTTTCTGATCACCTTGACCCAAATTTAAAAGTTAAAGGGTAGTTTCCCCATTTTACCCTACTAGAGATTTAAAGCTTCAACAAAAAGAACTATGATATTTAAAAAGTCATGATAGAGGAAAAGCGGGATGGGGGAAACTAAAAGGATTTTCAGAAAGTGAAGCTGATGGTTGCGACCCTTGATGGAGTCTCAGTGTTCTGGTAGTTCTGTGCCCGGCACGTCTGGATCCTTGAACAGAAATGCCTTCCGAATTTAAACAGCCCTTTCAAGCTTTTCGGCTCAACGTTGTCTATTTAGAGACTTAAAAGAAATTCAAAACTTCATACCATTTGTATCCTTCCACTTTAGGAATGTACTTTAGGAGTTGAAATGTATATTCAGTAAAGAATATATTATTTGGATTCTTGGAAATTAATTGTATTCATAGTACTTGACTGCTTCCACTTTCTAGTGAAATCAGTAGTTTTTAAAATCTTTTTTTAGAAACTAACTTATTTTCCATATTTTGTTCACTTAAGCTTTTTGAAGTTCCGTGATTATAATTAGCACTGAAAGCTGTGCTTTCTGTGTGAATGTGGGTTACTGTAAGCCAAATTTACAGTTTTCCAACTTAAAATACCTACTTAATTAAAATCAGATTTTATGAATGCTTACGGCTTGATGCTAAATATCTCTTATTTTTGTGAATGAAATCATTAATGTTAGATTTATCAGTGAAATTTTTCTTTTTCTTAAACCCTCTGAATATTCTACCAGGCTACGTTGAAGGGAAAGTTTTATCAAAACTGGCAGTTATTCTGTGACTCTATAATGGAGCTTGAAACAAATGTTTTAATGAAATATAAAACAGAAAGTGAACCATATATAAAAAGGGTCATGGAGAATGAGCATGTTGAAAAACAACATAATTGCGTAAATCAGGATGATTTACCGTCCGCCTTATAAAGCCTTTAAGTCCTTAAGACGATCTTGGTAAAAATGTTAGGATGCCCTCTGAATGAGCACACACTGACCGTCGCTCTGAGGGGAACACAGCGACTCGGGTCCCTGCGAGCCCCTAGTCTCGGCACTTTTGTCAGCCGCTCCGTGCGAACCCTTGTGTTACTGTATTGCAGCTACGGCTGAAAAGGTCGGTTTTATTTCTGTTGGCCCCAGCAGAGGTGGGTGTTCCTGAAGAAGCCCAGCTGCTCTCGCACACCGAGAGAAACTCTGAACAGCCGGACCGGCTGCATCCTCAACCCTCACCCTTTCTTTCTCTTTTGTTTTTGTATCTCTGGGCGGTTTGCAGCTTCAGATGGACATTCTCTTTGAAGGGTTCAAAGTTTAATTGCAATTTGATTTCAGGGTACATTTTGGGTTTAAACATCTCAGTTAATTGTGAGCTCAAATGCTCTCCTCTTCATTTTAGATGCAAACAGTGCTTGATCGAACTTTTACTTTAAGGGGTCGTTGTTACTTGGAATAGGACCAAATGAAGGATTTACTGCACAGCTACTCGGTTAATTGAATGAATAATAAACAAATCATCTAAACACTGTCATCTCTCAGGACTTGGCTCCCGAAGAGTTTAGCCTGAGCTCTTCCAATCCTTTACATCCTAGTCTTAAGTTACAAAGTGTACTTTATTTTTCCATAGTTTTTTTCAGTGATTTTGATCGCCACCCCAGCTCCCACTCTGTACACTGACGGCAGAAACTTAGTCTTAGTGTCAGTAATTCCAGGTGTGAACTAACTCCATTCTCGATTCCTGCTTTCCCCTCCCTCCCCCTGGGCATGGCGTCTGATTCCTGAGGTGGCTAGGTGGCACTGGGGTCTGGTTAGTGGTTGGCGTGTGAGCATAGTGGTAGCCCTGAGGTGTGCATCGTCCTCTCTGGATCTCAGCTGATACCCCCTTCCGTGCTGGCCTCTGCTGAGCAGTCTGCATCCCTGTCTGCCCTCAGCTCTGTGCCCATGCTTCCTGCAGCCACACCCCAGCATCATGCCCGAGGGCCCCTCAAGGCTCTACTCCTCCAGCAGCCTCCACTCTCCTGTGCCGGTCTGGCCGCGCAGTCTCCTGGGCCGTCTTAGGCGCTACGTTCAAACTGACTGGTAGCGATAGTCTTTGCTTTACAAGTTAGTGAACAAGCCTCGCATGTTACACACATCCCTAAATTTGTCCTTTTGGAGAGGAATAAAATTTACTACAATACTACAGTTATGTTCCGTTTGTAGCAAATATATAATGTGTTGCATCTTTGTCCAGTATATTACTTAAAATTTTTTTTTAGTTGAAATCTTTAGAAGTTGATTCTTCTCTGCTATTCTGGATTAAAATATATACATAGAGAATTTCAATACTTCTCTTTTTTATTGAGATACAATTGACATGTTAGTTTCAGATATACAACATTATGATTCAGTATTTGTGTACATTGAGAAATGATCACCGCTCTAAGTCCAGTTAGCGTCTGTCCCCATACATTGTTACAAATGTTTTTTTCTCGCGATGAGGACTTTTAAGATCTGGTCTCTTATCAGTACTACTTTTAATATATTATTAGGGTTTACGGAACAAACCGAAGAAAACAGCACATGTGAAACCAGACCTCATAGATGTTGATCTCGTAAGAGGTGAGATTTGAGTAAATAAATGCTTAATGCAATTAGAAATTGATCTCGAGGAAGCAGAATTCAAAATGGGTTAGATATATATTTTTGTAGAAATGAAAGCAGTGTGAGCAGAAATGAAGGCAGTAACACTATGAACAAGAAAAGAGAACGGAAGCGTTTAGATGCCATTGACTAGTCTTTTCTTCCACTAATGATCATTCGAAGAAGTGATAACTATTGAAGAAGAGCAGCCTGTGTTTGCACAGCAAACCATAAGGCTCGATTACAAAAGTTAAAGTGGTAGTTTTTAATTACCAACTGGAACTGACATTTGAACATTGTCTTATATTGATAAAATATGTGGGAAAAATTCTACCGTAATTTCAGTTAAAAATAGTTTTTTTCCGAAGTCCCTGAGTTATTATGATAGCATGAAGAATGTTTTGAAAGTGTCCCCTACCAAAAATTGGACCTTTCTTGCTCATAGCATAGTACAAAATAAATTTATACGTGTTTTGTTGTTCTTCAAATGTTGACATTTTTTCCCAAGGAAATTAAAGAATAATGAATATCCTCTGTCACTCTCTTTTACTTTTTTCAGGGTCTGCGTTTGCTAAGGCAAAACCTGAAAGTCCTTGGACTTCTCTGACCAGAAAGGGCATCGTCCGAGTTGTGTTTTTTCCCTTTTTCTTCCGGTGGTGGTTACAAGTAACGTCAAAAGTCATCTTTTTCTGGCTTCTTGTCCTTTATCTTCTTCAAGGTATAATTAAGTGATAGAAACGCATTTTGCTTTTAACTTGCAAGATATTATATTTTTAGGGTTCTAAGGCTTTTTTAAAATGTATGCTAAGTACTGTTGAGGATCAAAATATATATTTGTTGTGATGTTTCATTTAGAAATAAGACACATAAAGACACAACTAGTTTGGTATTAAAAACGTTTGAGAAAACAAAACAGTTATTTTCCAATATAGTTTTATGAAAATTTGAATCTGTGGATGCTAAAGAAAAATACAAATTGAGAGGATTTTTAACAATTGGAAAGTCCCTTCAAAATGCGCCCCCTACACATGCATACCACGCCAGCATTTTTCTAATAGCACGTCCACAAGTTCATGTTTCCTGCCTAAGCCACAGTTGATTTTTTCTCCAGTGATCTGAGACTGTCCTCGTTCTGTTTTGAAATCCTATCCACTGTGCCCTGTTCTAAGTGCTCTTCACAGAGTCTGGTTTAATTCTGACAACAGCCCGGTGGAGTAGGGGGACTGTTGTCCTGCCCAGCTTACAGACTCAGCCCTGAAGGGCTTGACGGCTCACTCACAAGTCCCCAGGCGCGGGCGAGCCCCGTTCTGCTCTGAGCAGGCTGCTGCAGAGCCACGTGCTGGGCGACTGTGGCTGCCCTTGCAGCCGCGTTCTGACAGCAGTGCACGTGTGCGTGTTTGACACTCGACATTGCCGGGCTCTGGGGGGAGGTGCTCCCTCTGCATCCTGCTAATAGAGCAACATTCCAATTCTCTAGTTCGTTTGGTCCCCTGTCCGTGTTTTTAGTGTCTTACTTTTTTAGAAACAGGATTATAATCCTGAATGATTATTTAAATATGTTACATTAAACTCTAAGTAAAAAGATAATATCTTTTAAGTAATATATACTAAAAACTACAGACTTTTATTTAGGTAAAGTGGTTTCTTTTAAGCTAGGGCACATTTTATAAAAGGCTGTGAACTGTGAAGATTTTGTGATTGTTGTTAATAGAGAACGTGTGTGTGTTTCTGATTAAAGAAATGATATATGTTCATTGCAGAAAATTTGGAAAATATAGGAAAAAACTAAGAAAAAAAAAACTACCCACAATCTTGCCTTTCACTTTACTTTGTAACATTTTTATATAGTTGAGATTATTCTATGTAAATAATTGTATTCTTTTTTTTGCCTTGTGTTATAACAAGTATCAGAGTCTTTATAAATATAATTTTAAACTGTTGGAAATTGTTCTAGCCTACAGCAATGTTGGGCATTTAAGCTTTTTGCTGTCTTTTGCTGTTATAATTACTGCTGAGGTGAACATACTTGTTTGTGAAGTTTTTCTGACATATTGAGTTATTTTCTTTTAAGTTCCTAGAATGCCTGAAATTAAGTGTAATAACGTTTCCAGGGATTTTCATATGCAGTTTATAACTGCTGTCAAGAAGTTGAGCTTTATTGTTGTTTTTAAGTAATGCCATTATATGATAGTTCTTCTGCATGTATTTTTTTTATTAACTGTTTTCTAGGTATAGTTATCCTAGTTGTTATTGAGTTATTTTCTTGTGTTTGCTTTGCCCCTAAAAGGATATAAGAGGGCTGACTCTAAGTATGGTTATCTTCTAATGCTTTCTAGTTTACCTAAAGGAGAAAGCTTTATTCTCAAGTGGTCTGAAATTGCAACTGCTTATTAGAGTAATAATTAATCAGTACCATTGATTGTAACCACTGTGCACTGTGGTTTTTTAATGTTGTTGCTTTCCACTATTTGAAGGCAAAGTTTCCAGCGTAACTAGAAGTTCACTTACTGTGTCTAAAACTCACTCACTGGCTGCCTCAGTTAAATAGGGAGCACAGGTTAGCTCAGGAGTGGAAAAGAGAGATTTCCTGGTTCAGAAGCAAAGTTTAACATTGCAGGTGTTCATAGGTGAAGAGCACCGAACGTTCTCCTGATAAAGCATAGTTAAAGAAGTGACTTAACCTGCTCCAAGTCACACAGATGGGCATGGTCTGACCCTGATGGCCCTGGGCAGTCTGCTGGTGCCTTCAGACGCCCTGTGCCTCCGTCTCCTCGCGTGCAGAGGACGGGCAGTGCCCCGGGTCACGTCCTCACTCTGTTCCACCTCGTCTCCCAAAAGGCAGAAAGACTCACGTGCGCTCATGTTTGGTTTTACATAACTCCATACAGGTTTTTACTTCAATTGCATGCCTGTCAGTATGTCAGCTGTGTATTCCCAGCTCCATCCCTGCTCCGTGCTTGTGTTGTTTCTCACCCAGATTTCTGCCGAGAGCCCTTACGTCTTCTACTTTCTGTCCATTTTCAAATCACAAATCCAACCCAGCCACTCAAGGTCTAAATCTCTCCCGAGTTATCTTTGCCTTTAGGATAAAAACCAAGTTTTCGGTCGGTGCCTTGTTGACTCTCTCCCCAGCTTTAACCAGACTGAGTTGGCTCTGTGCTGTCTCATAGACATTCGTGTTTTTTTGCCCGTGCCTTTGCACGCGCGGTCTCTGCCTGGGTGGCCTCCTCCCTTTTGTCTGCCTGGTCCCCTCCCCTTTGTTGTCTCAGTTAGGTGAGGCGTCAGACGTCGTGCTCGTTGAGAATCCTCTCAAGCTCCCGCCGTGGTTCCCCATCTTCCCACGCGTGTCACAGCCCCACCAGAGGTGTTCCGTTAGTCTGCTCGGGCTGCCGCAGCGAAACCCCTCAGGCTCGGGGCTTAAACAGCAGCACTTGACTTTTCCCGGCTCTGGAGGCTGGAAGTCTGAGAGCAAGTGCTGGCAGGGCTGGTGTCTGGTGAGGTTTCTCTTCCTGGCTTGTAGGTGGCCGCCTTCCCGCTGTGTTCTCACGTGGCCCTTCCCCTGTGTGTGAGCCAAGAGAGATCTCTGGTGTCTCTTCTTCTTTTCATAAGACACGTGCTGTTAGATAAGGGCCAGCCACTCCCTCATTCAGCCTTTATTACATGCTCAGAGGGCCTGTCTGTAAATGGAGCCACGTTGGCTGTTAGGCTTTGCTGTGTGGACCTGAGGGCACAGTGCAGTCCATTACAGGTGTTTGAATTGTTTCTATATGTCCCCCTTTTCCTCTAAACTGAGGAGGGCAGGGAGCAGAGACCATGCCTTATTTGTCTTTCTACTCCCAAGGCCTAACACCTGCCACTAAATCTTAAAGATGGACAGACCTGGGCCCAGCCCCGTGGCCGAGTGGTTAAGTTTGCGCACATTCTGCTTCGGCGCCCCAGGGTTTTGCCGGTTTGGATCCTGAGCGTGAACAGGGCACCGCTCATCAGGCCACGTTGAGGCAGTATCCCACATAGCACAACCAGAGGCACTCAGAACTAGAATATACGACTACATACTTGGGGGCTTTGGGGAGAAGAAGAAGAAGAAGAAGAAGAAGAAAACAAGACATGCACCAAAGTTCTAAGGGAAAAAAAGAAAGAAAGAAAGGTGGGCAGACCTAGAAGTGCACCTCTACTGCTTTATGTTTCTGATGCTTATCCCTAGAGTTCTGCTTGGCCAGCACACGAAGTCCTGCCTGGGGACTGCTTGTGCCCGATGAAGAACGTTTTATCTTAGTTGATCTCTTAGAGAAATCTCTAGAAGTACCGTCTAGCAGAAATCTCCAACAGTACTGTCGAGTTTACAGGACTTCATTAAATGATCAAGAAGTAGAACTTAGCATTATGTAAGAGAAGTGAACGTTTCCTCCTTGTATCGTCTAACCAGTTGCTCGAGGGGGAACATGGGACGAGACGATAGCAGAACCGTGGACACCAGAACCACGGCCTCAGGAGCTGGGGCGTGGAATGGGCACGGCCACTGTGAGAGACCAGCCGGGAGAAAGAAGGGAAAGCGAGAGGAATCAAGTGGCTCCCCCCTTTTGCTGATGCTTTCCATCAGCAGAATTTTCACAGAATATAACAACTTCCTGTTAAGATAGAAAACAGTTCGTAGCTTCCCAACCCCAGCATTACAGAGAATGGCGGTCATAGGGCTGAAAGAGAACAGATAAATGCCAGTGAGAGGTTATATTAAATCCAAAATTCTTGAAGGTGTTCTTCTGTGTGCCTGACGCTTTGAACCTCTTACGTAGCATTTGCATCCCCCTCCTTTTTGAGGATAGCTAAGTTAATGATAGCAAGTAAAAGCCCCATTTGCCAGTGTTAGGTGCATGTTTGCTGGATGTGAGGCACTTTTCAAAGTGTTCTCGCATGTGTTGCCTCCCTGAAAACCTACAGTCCCTGTACACTGGGTTATGGTTCAGAGGAGTACACCAGGGCTCAGAAAGTTAAGGAACTTGATAACGATCACATTGGCGCTCATAAGAAAAACAACAGAAATTCTGTACTTTTCAAAATTCCAGACTCTGTAATAAAACCACTGGAGAATTGAAGTTAAGCTCCAGGGTAATTCCTAAAGATGATTGGCATTTGCAAAAATTGGTGTTTTTTTGAGACCTTTATTTTATCACTCAGGAGAATATGACGCTGAAATTTGTTTTTGTGATACTTAAACATCTTAGGAGGTAAAGTGGTGTTTCAAGCTTCAGTCTTGGTACGGTGGGCCAGGATTCTTTCAGTTGCAGGTGGCGGAAACCAAATGCAAACTAGCTTTTGCAAAAAGTGGCTTTTCTTTTTTTGTTTTTACTGCTTACTATAAAAGTTTTCAAAAAAACAGGAAACTAGATCTATTAGTGCAATAATCAGGGTGACCATATGCTCCAGTTGGCTGGGGACTGTCGCGCTGTCCAGGTTTCCTTGTGTTGTCCAGGTGCTTGTATTCACTCTCCCTTCACTCTCGAGAGTCCTGGTTTAGATGGTCAGTTACACAGTCACCCCAAGCGGCAGTATGCCCATCTCGTAGATTAAATAATTCGCAATGTTTGGGGATATTTACTTAATCTGTTTTGTTAAAGGAAGTTACATGCATCATGACATTTTACCCCTGAATGCATCAATGTGCGTCTCTTCAACCTATGCGCATTACACAGCCCTGTTACGATCATCACACCTAACAAAAGGAACAGAGATCTCCTGACGTTCCGGTTCTCCAGTTGTTCCGACACAGAACGTGGTCCTCCTGGGCCCTGGGTTCAAGCGTCGCTGGGCCTGGGGGCTCAGACGGTGTCCTTACTTTGATGCTGTTGCCTCGCTCTCCTTTTTCTGGGCTCATTCTTAGGGAGGCTCTTTCTGCATGGTGGCTGAGGTGGCCCCTGGCAATTTCATATTTCTATAGTCTTTAGTTTTTATGAACTAGGAGAAAGGCTACCTTCAAGCACCTGTATTAGTCCTTGAAAAAGATTCTGATGACCTTGTGGAGCTCATATACCCACCTTTTGTTAATTCCTGTGCCAAGAATTAAGACTGGCAAGCCTGCATTACGTGTCCATCCCTGACGTGGGAGAAATAAGACCATTTGATTGACAGAAAAGGAGGCCGATCTGCAAAAGATAAAGAGGGTTTATGTCTAGAAAGTCTGAAGGATGCTGAGCAGGCAAAAACAAGAGTTCTTCTTCATGTGGTTTAGCATTGATGGGTGTTGAGTGGTTTCCCTAAAGATATGCCCGAGGAGGTTTATGTTCTTCATTCTGAGGAGATCGACCTCTGTTGAAAAGAAGCCCTTTATAGCCTTTGGTTGTTAGTGCCGTCGAGTCAGATTCCGACTCCCAGCATCCCGGTGTGCAGCAGATAGTGTACACCTGCCTAATCTTTCTGTGCCATCCTCTCACCTTCTGGTGCTGCATCAGACCTGCTCCACTGCTGTTCATAGTTTTGGAAGGGGGTGGCCAGGTGCTTCCTCCTAGTCTGTCTTAGTCTGGCAGCTCCACTGACACCTGTGCACCATGGTGACCGTGCTGGTATTTGACATACTGGTGGCAGAGCTTTCAGCATCACAGCCCCACATGCAGCTGCCACATATGACAACCAGCAGACAGGTGGTGTGGTTTCCTGACCAGGAAACGAACCCAGGCCGTGGTGGAGAGAGGCGAATCTTAACCGCTAGACCACCACCCTGGCTCTTCATAGCCTCATTATGCACTTATTGTAGACTTCCCTGTTTGTATGACACAGACTAAGTGCCCTCAGGTTAATGCCCTTCTTCCGATTGTGATCTTTCCAGGAATGCCCTCGGATTCGTACGCGTCTAGTTTTCTTTGCAGTGTTAAGGTCTGCACTTTAGAGACTATGTTGGGTGTTATCTTGTTCCAAGAGTTTATTACTGAATAGCCCAGTTAGCTGACAGCAAACAATAAAATAGTCTGAAAGAGCTTGTCTAGGGTAACGTTTTAAACTCCTTTAAATTTAGAAAAATAATCTGGCAAGAAGCAACGTTAGAAAAGTTTTTGAAGAAGTGACTGTCAGGTCTATAATTAAACGTCTTTTCTTTCCCTTTTTGTAGTTGCCGCAATAGTGTTATTCTGTTCCGCTTCTAGCCCGCATAGCATCCCTCTGACGGAAGTGATCGGGCCCGTATGGCTCATGCTGCTCCTGGGAACTGTGCACTGCCAGATTGTCTCCACAAGAACCCCCAAACCCCCTCTGAGTACAGGGGGTAAAAGAAGGAGGTACTCGCTGTTTAAAGGGAATATCTTCATAGATTTCTGTAATTTGAATCCGTGATTGTTCTTGACTAGAATAAAAGGTTATCTTGTAAAGTTGCTCTTTCAAATAAAGCAGTGAGCCTCAGAACCAAGAGCTACCAAGTGGTTTCGTTTCTGTATTTGCTTCCAGACCATTTTCAGACCACATGTCTGTATTTGTCTTTGTTTTCTTTCTTAAAGCTCGGTTCTCAGGTACCTAATATCAATGTAGAGAATATCGGTTAGCTGGAGTTGCTGATAACTCCTGCTGTTTACAAAATCTTGTACTTATGAGATGCTTTGGCAAAACCAAGAGCCAAGAAGAAATTTCAGCTAAATTGTATTTATTAAACGCTGTCTGAAGCTGTTTAATATTGCCCCTTGATTGAGTAAGCCTGGCCAGTCTCACTGGCCACTCAGCCCATTGAAGTTCTGCTTTTAGCATCTTTTGGAGCACTTCCTCTTTTGAATATCGTTCGTAAGAGATCGTGTCATTTGCAGTTTGGGGAATGGTGAGATTTAAGCCCTTTTTGTTTTGAAAAGATAATACCTACATTAAACAAATAGCGTTGCTGGTCAGTTAGATTCTAAGTCTCTCTGATCTAAATTTTCTTGTTTCTTTGTCTGCAGATAAGTGGCATTCACATAGGGAAGAAATGCTTTTGTAAATGCCTGTGCAGTGCGATCCTTACAGCCTAGTGCCCACTGCCTGTCAGTGTGAGCAAGGAACAGCACTTTAATGTTTACAGAAATGGGCTGGAATGCGTACCTTGATATTTGGATTAACTTTCATCCAGTAAATCTGAATTTCATTATGTATTAAAGTTCCTGTGTTTATGTTTACCAAAATCTTGAACATACTACCGAGAAAGTGGTCGTTAAAATTTTAAAGCTACCTTCCGCTCTTGATCTCTTCTCACAAAGGAAGTTAAGAAAAGCGGCCCATTTGGAAGTGCACAGAGAAGGTGATGGTTCTAGTACCAGCGACAACACACAGGAGGGAGCAGTTCCGAGCCACGGCACAAACACCTCTTACGGCGTTGGCGCTGTCTTCAGAGATCTCTGGCACGCTGCTTTCTTTTTATCAGGGTTTGTATTTATTCAAGGCTTTATATGGCACAGAGATGCACTGTCCCTTTTCTGGCGCTTCGGCTCAGGTGTTGAATATTAGTGACTTTAAATATGACAGCCCTGTTACGGATTTTGTTTTGATAAATTATAATACTATGTAGATAATGAACAAATAGACCATCAAGTTCATTTGAGATATGTGTAAATACATCTGTATGAGAATGAATATATGTCATCAAGTATATTGAGTTAGGATTTCTTGGTTTTGGTTTCTTTTGTGATATCTCAAGTACTGTCGTACTTCTGTTAAATTGCTTATTTTGTTTTTATCAGCACTGTAGGTCAAATTGGCTTTATTAATAGCCCACGTGAGTTGTATCACTTTTTTTTCTTTAATCCCTGCCTCAATTATCTAAAAACATAAAGGCATTGTTATTTAGAAAAATAAAACGTATACTATGGTATGAAATTTTATTTTTGTACATTGGGCTTTTTTTATAGCTTGTACCACAATAAAGATTTACCAAATAGGGAAATATAATTATAGAAAACTTCAAAAATAATTAAACCTAACTTAATCTTGTGCTATTATTTTGAATAGTTATTCAGACATTTAAGGGTTATGTTACCAGTTTACATATATATTTAATAAATTTGAAAAAAGTTAAAAAGCTGTCATCAAAGTACTGAGTATAACTGATGAAAGCGCTAAGTTAATGACACTGCAAATTACTGTTTTCAGTCACTTTTGTTAAATCCTCTACTAATATCATTGTTTCATCAGTTTGTGCTTGTCCTCTTCTGATAAAGTTTATCATGCGTTATACAATTAAGCAGTTATATCCTGGGCGTGTTTGCATTGATTGTAATTTGGGGGGGACATTTTCCAAAGTTTTAATAGTTTCTGTAACATGGCATGGAGTTGATTCCCTGACTATTGCAGCTACCTGTTCCTCCTCCAGAGAAGGTAGAGGTTTGGTTTGGTTCTTAGCTTGGGTTGGATTCTGTCTCCCTCTGTTAGTCTTTTTTTCTTTTTAATAGCTCTCCTTTCTAACAGTAGGTTGTGGTAGTTTTATCACTGCAAAGTCAGTTTCTTAGACATTTCTCAAGGCTTTCTGATAAGCAGTTGTAAGTAGCATAGTGGATACGTTTTCCTTTTGGGGGGTTAGTGAGTTGTTTGGGTGTCCAGAGCTGATCCTGCGTTACGTAGCATTTAGAACCCCCCTAAGGTAGTAGGTGGGCGCCTTTGGAATTCTACAACATGCCTGTCATCAAGTGAGATTCAGGCTTCAGTTTTCCTCCTTTTGGTCTGTAGCATGACCCAACTACCAGTCATTGATATTATAATGGATAAATCCATTTGGATTTGTTCCCTTTAATTGTGACAACTATAATCTAAGGTTTTTAAAGACGCACTGTTTTCAACTGTCTAATTTTGTGACTGCTTTGCCAGCATCTGAATGAGACTGTTTCAATATTAGGTGCAAAAAAATCTTAAGAAAAATGTCAGTTTTAGAAGATCTAAACTGAGTTCTAAAATCTTGGTGACGTCTTGTTCCCTGTCACTCTTGGAGCACCTCCTTGCTTTCTGTTTCACGTTCAACTTGTACTTCTCTGCCTCAGCCCTGGCCTCAGCCATTTCTTCAAGGAGTGTGGTGTATAGAAACCAAGATCTGAGTGCTAGATGTGCTAATTGCTGCTGGGCTTTTGCTCCCCCGCTGCGTTCTCAATGGGCAGAGCTAGAAAATGTGCATGTGTGTTTATCTCTTTACATTTGTATTTATTTCTATATCAATTGAGATATATTATAAACCATGGATTTGCAGTGATAGCTCCAATTCAAATACAATACCACAAAGTTCATTTATCTTTTCTCCTCTCCCTATTTATATCTTCCTTCTCTATCACTGAAATATACTTACTTATTCAATGAATCTTCTGTATGTCGCCCGTCTCCCAACCCTGCTGGGCTGCACCTGGCACCCTGCTCCAAAATTGTCTTTGAATGGGCCGCCATTTTTGGCTGCCGCTGGGCTGCCCCTCCTGTCCCACTCCAGCAACACTCTTGCCACTGCTGTTATTACCAGCCCCTGCCAAGCTGCCTCAGTTTGTATTTTGAGCTACTTTGTCAACTCTGAGGGTGGTGCTTACATTTAGTATTTTCTTCGTCGGTTCAGCTTGGTTTGCAGCTGACCTGCATTTAGTTGATGAGAAACATCAGATAGCTACTATAGCTTAGCAACTTACTGTTCATGTCTCCTGATGGTGTCACAGGTGCTCTCAGGAGACAGCGGGGAGGGAAACAGCCCAGAGAAGCTGGGAAGGAGGCAGAGATAAGGAAGGGAGGAAGTGGGAGATAGCTGAAGGGCATCACGTGGAGTGGGCCTGCTAGTCCCTCTGCCCTGCTGAACACAGTCTTTACCCTGTCCTGGGGAGGAAAGAATACGTTCCCCTGAGAAAACGCCTTAAAGCAGCCGTTGTTGCTGACTCAGAGCCCTTCTCTCCAGGCCCTTATCTCCTCCCCGCAGGGGTTCTGGTTCACTCTGCAGGTTCTCAGTCACTTTTTCTACTTGACTCCTGGCCTCCAGGCCTGTGTTTTCAGCTGCCTACTGGTCTTTCCCAGGATGTTCCTGGGCACTTCAGGTCCAACGTTTCCATGTTTCTTCCCAAATAAATTTCCTCTCTTGCATGTCCTGTGTGATTAATGGTTCTGCCAACTTTCCAGTCTTCCTTCACCTCATTCACCTCTTTTTCTCCCCTCCCCTTCCAGCCCCGTGTAATTTCAGTGACCCTTCAGAAATGTCTCTCCAGCACACTCCTCCTCTGTCTTTGAGGGTCTCACATTTTCAGGATATCGAGTGACTTCTTCTCCCTTGGTCTTTTCCTACATCTGCCTGTTGCACAGTGTTGAGGGAGAGTGAAGGGAATGATCAATTACTGGTGTTTCTGTCACTTTCCTCCCCAAGCAGAGAAGGTCACAGGTTTTCTCTGCGCCTTTTATTTTCTGTTTGTGCCCTTTCTCCTCTGCTGTAATCCATTATCCTCCTTTCCTCTGGCACTCTTGAATGATCTTTGTTCTGCAGCTCATTCCGTTGTCTCTCCATGCCTCTTAGGGTCATAGAGAAACAAAAGGCTCAGAAGACGGGGTTCTGAGCCCCGCGACCCTGTGGAGATGTGAGCTGAACGACTAGAAGGCGTTGGAGCTCTGTAGCGCACGTGGGAAGTCTGGTCTGTCTTTCCCCTTTCGTAGTCTTGCAGGAGAAGGTCAGGAAGGAGAGAGGCCTGTTTGTGTAAGACAGAAACTTTCCAGGCTTTGATGAGTATGTTAAGAAGAAATCCTAATAGGCAGTTTCCCAAAGAAGTGGGCAGTGGGAGGTACTGTGGGGAGTATAACTAACCTCTAGTCAGGCTGTGTTCTTGTGCCAGCTTTGCCTGTGCCCGGCTGTGTGACCTGAAATAAGTCACTTAGACCTCTTCACGTTTCTGAGTCCTTGTTTCCAAGGTGAGCGTTTAGAATAGGAGACTTTAAGGTCCTGTGCGGTTCTAAAAATATTTCAGTAAAACTAAGTAACTTTAAAGATAACTTTTTTGTGCATTTTTTTAAAACTTCCGTGTTTTGACCTTACGTGAAGGGAATATACTAGTTTAACTTTTTTTTTCCTTGCAAAACTGATACTCTAGAGAAAATTCAAGGGGATTTATTTAAATATAATTGCCTTTTAATAATGTTTTATGATAGACTGAGTCTGCTGTGAGCATGTTTTAATTTTGTGTGGGACTTACATCCTATTTCTACTAAGCATTTCTTTTGCGTAGCCGTGCTCTCACCCGCTGTGGTCTCTGAAGAAGACTCCTCAGGCATTTGCTGAGTAATCACAAATGTCTTGTCTGTTATTCCCATGTTGCATTTTATGTATTGAGAAAAATTTAATTCTTATAAATGAAGAACCTCAATTGTAGCCTTTTAGGTCTTTATAAGCTACATGATTGCTAATGTTTTTTCCAGAGTATTTCAGTGGGTGAAAGATGTTACTTCTTTATTTTCTTTGTGTTCTTCTTTTCTACTTCTTCCATTGTTTAGAAGCTTGTATAAAGTTTTCCCTTTTTTCCATGTATTTTTATGTTACCAAAGGTCCTATGTCTCCACTGTATATTAAAATGAATTTACCAGAGATATTTATGTATATAGACTAACAGTAAAGTATTTGGGTAAAGGAAAATATTAAAACTAAGTTAAACCACTAATTACAACTTAACCTGATAAGTACTGAGATAGTTTTTTAAAATAAAGCTTTAAAAATATATTATTAAACTATAATAAAATGGGCAACATTTTGGTCCTAGATTTTGCTCAAAGACCAGGTGATTTTGACCAAGAATGGCATGGTAAATTAGGGCATGTCTCTTCGAAGTGCTGTTTGCAAGACCTCAAAACTCACAAAATGAGCTGAACTAGGACATTGATTTACATGTTTATTTTATATGATAGCTATTACATTTCTAAATTATTTATTGTAAAAATAAGGTGGCCATTAAAATTTCGAGAGATAACTACCAGATTTAATTATTAACAGATGATAGATTCCGTCAGTGACCTGTCCAACATAAGCTAAGTCCACATAACATGCTTCTGCATATTTTCTTTATAGGTCAAAGAAAGCGAAGAATTCAATTGATAAATCCACTGAGACTGACAATGGCTATGTATCCCTGGATGGGAAAAAGACTGTTAAAAGCGGTGAGGATGGAGTGCAGAGCCATGAGCCTCAGTGTGAAACTCTTCGGCCAGAAGAGACAGCCTGGAGCACAGGGGCTCTGCGGAACACTCCCAGCAAGGTAAGCGTGAGCTCCTACATCGTTGGCTGGTGTGATTTCTCATTAGCTGATGGGAAGTGACTTAGACATGGTAGTTGCCCTTGAACCATGCATGTTCTCCAGACTTTATTCTGTGAGCCTTTACAGATCACGCTAATGAAGCTGGCAGTCAGCTAAAGGAATGTCAGTCAACTTGATTACCAGTATAACTTGGCATCTTCTGAATTGGTGGTTGGCTCCAATTTTTCCAGAATGTTAAAGCACTTTGTAATCTGTAGTTGATGTTTGTTAAACCTTCCCTTCCTTTCCCCCTTTTCCACGTGTGTGTAAGAATTTGTTTTAAATGCAACATCTAAATTATTCTAGAAACTGAACTAGGAACCTGGTTTTCTGTTCACATTCTTTATAAGAAAATATTACCTTGTTTTTCCTACCTTCGTTACCTTTGGTGTCAGTACATTTGTTTTGAATTTGAAAAAAATTCTTGTTGAGGACATATTTGTTATGGATAGCAATTGTTTGCTTACTTTTCCAGGACAATAGAGAAACCCTGGGTTTATTGTAAGAAAGCCTAATGTCATATCTTCTCTCTCTTTGTTTCACTGAATTTCTTTGGTTAAATAATTTATTCTTTAAAAGCTATTACAGTAAAAAAATATGGTCAAATTAAAAGATGTTACCTGTCTTACGTTTAGGAATGTAAGCATCAACATTTGTGTTGAGGAAGATAGAGAAAAGGGGATTCTCTAGTTTTGAGTGAAGTATGTGTTAGTACATGACAGTACGTGTATTTTCGGTAGCTGTACAATAAGTAGCATGGGCTGCATGAAATACGGTCGCGTCCTCTGATTTTAGATTTTTAAAGCATTTAACTGTCTGGTAAGGTGGACCTCACATCACTGTCATCACTCAACAAGTAAGTTTTCAGTAATACGGCTTTCAGTCACATTTCAGGTGTGTATCACCTGCCAAAGTGACATGAGAGGAACGTGAAAGTGTCAGTAACACTCGTACCCGGGAGCTTGTCAGTGTCAGGGTTTCTGAAATGTGGATGTCTCTTACGAATTGATACATCGTAATGCTGTCTGTCTGCACACGATCAACTACCATTCGCCTCCAGCCTCATAAGCCATTGTTAATCAGCAGTGGTCTTAGAATTGACGGTATTATCAGTTTGTGAAAATAGTACAATTAGTTAATCTCAGGTCTCTCAGCTTCTTCTAAATGGTCTCTGTTCTGCTTTTATCCTATTTTCTATTTCTTTATTTTGTAAGCTATTTCAAATCCTTTTGTGAACAGAAACATTATAGGACGATATTTGACAAATGGCTGTTGAATTACTCTTAAAACTAAAATAACAATATAGTCACTGATTTAAGTCAATTTTTTCAAAAAGTCAGGTAGTACTAATCAGTTACGTTAAGGTTCTTGAAGGTATTTGAAGGTGTGTGTATACATGTATGTATAACTTAAAATGTTGTGGTTTTAAAGCTGCGAGGTCAGTCAGAAATTACCAGTACTGCTCTTTGTGTATCCCAACTTAGGACAGCCAAAGGACAATAGCAAACGTCTCTGATGAAGTCTCCAGTGAGGAAGGTCCTGACACAGGATACCCACTACGCCGCCACGTGGACAGGCCTTCCGAGAGTGTTTTCCGGAACAGAAAGTCACACCATTATAAGAAACAGCACCCTAATGAGGTACATGCTTTGGCCTTAAATCTATACACGCATAACTGTTTTGTATGTTACTAATTTACAGCTTATTTCAACAACTGAATATAATTATGGAAATAACGATATTTCCCATCAGTACTAATATCTTACATAGAGTAGTAGTTTTAGATTTGTGTGTTGCCCACGATAAATAGCTCTCCATTTGTACTCATTTTGTGCCTTATCTCTAAAGACTCTTACATTCCGTTTACATCTAGAGAAGACCGTCCTGGAGAGTCAGTCTGTGAGCTCTTGTGTTAGTCTTTTCCACAGTTTGAAAGGCTTTATGACCTCTTGACTATAACAAAGTTAGTATTCCAAGTGAAATCTTTCATGTTGCTGTCACCAGTGAAGTTGCCCATACTGTAAGATTCAATTCTTTTTTCTTCTTTGACTCTGTTTTCTTTAATAATTTGTTTTTCTCTAAACTCTTTCCAACTTTATCACCTCTCTTGAAACTATGTAAATAGAAAAAGAATTCCATTCTGTTGTATTTTCAGTTTTTATTCTAAGGACAGAACATTTCATTATCTCGCTTCAAGGCGAATGAATTGCTCCTTATGTCACTTTTTGATAAGCATTACCTTTTACTTGTTTTGGACTGTGAGAATTTTTTTTCTTGATGATTTAGGGTTACACTTTTGAGAAGTCAAATATTATGCTGTGCTGCCCTGTGAATACCTTGAGGGCTGTAAGATCATCAGAGTTGCTTGTTGCTTGTCCTCTTCTCTGTCATCGTGTCTCCCCGTGGGTCTTTCTGGTGACTGGCTGTTTCTTCCCCCCGTGGCTGCAGTCAGGCAGACGTGAATGCAGTGTGTCTCTTCGTGATGTCCTCGCCCACATCATCTGATGCGCAGCCACCTGTTCCTAGCCAGTTAACCGTGCTGGTGAAGTTCAGTCGTACTCTTCACGCACTTAGAGGTCAGCTGGTCCTGGAAGGGACTTGGGACCTCCTGTAGCAGGTCTCCACTCGCCTATATTTTAAGTTATTTGGCTTTAGATGTACTTTTCTCACCCTGTAATCTTTACTCTTCTTTATTTGCACCTGTATTTTGAACTTCTGAGATTCTTGAGAGGCAAAACATTATTCTACTAATCTTGGTTTTTAAATAGATGTATTGCTTAAAATCTTCTAAGATTTCAAGCTAAGGTTGATAATTAGCTAATAGGCATTGATTGTTTTAAATCATTTTTAATGGTGTAAAAGATTACATAAAAATAAAATCAAGTCTTCAGATTCTTCATCTGTAAAGTGAGGAACTTTAGGTGAGAAGATATTTTAAAAACTGCATTTCAGTTCCAAAAAATTTTGACTCTCAATTCAACCCAACTTTGAAAGGTATTTAAAAAAAAGCAAAACAAAACCTCCTTTGAATAAGTAAAATTGAGACAGGAAGTTTGTAGTGTTGTTTTGCATCTTTATGCATATATTACCCTACTCTTCGAATTACTGTTGGTGCTTTTTCTTTAAGGGTGAGGCACAGAGAAATCGTTTGGGGAAGCACCGTACATGGGGCACTGGTGGGCTCCCCTGCAAGGTCACTGGTCAGCGACCCAGCTGTTTGTTACCAGCCTCCCAGATGTCAATATGGATAGACATGCTTTTTGGGGCATGTAGTTTTTCAGGAAGCATCATCCCGTCTTCTGGTGGCGAGGGGCTGGAGCTGTTCTGCCAGCTACCGAGGTGGGTGGGGGTGAGGTGCGATCTTGTCGTTCAGTGTGTTGACTTTCTCGTAACCTCCCTGCCTCTCACCCCTCAGCCCACCCCCGCTCCGGGTTCTTCCTTCGCCTGCTCGTCACTGTGTCTGGTCGGCTTTTTCCCCTCTCCCGTTGGGAAGGTGGTGGTGGAATTACTTGATTATCTGGCCTGTGGGGGTAGCCTGGGGGTTGAGAGCTTCTTTTAAGCATTTGTCTTGTTCCCACTCTCTCCTGCTTTGTTTAACTCTGCAAGGACCTTTCAGTTTTTATTCCCTATTGTGGATTAGCTTTTCCGCTAATGAAGGCAGCATTTGATAGGGAGCGTGATGAAGAAACCGTGGACTTGGAGTCACACTACTTCAGTGACTTTGGAAGAATTATTTGACTTCTCTGAGTCTCAGTTTCTACATGTGAACAGTGGGGAGAGAAGCTGACCAGCCTCCTCCAATTGTTAGGATTAAATAAATTATGCGTAACTGCCTGCAACAAAGCGTTTATGCTGTAAATGCTTATTCCCTTCAAATAAATAACCTTTCTTCTCTTAATTTGATTATATGCTTAGTTTTAGCTCTCTGTCTAAAGATTTGAAACGAGCACAGCAAACCAATATTAACTTGAGCTATTTTCTTCAATTCAAAAATTTCCTATCTTTAGGCTTTATTCAGCAATTCCTAGTGAAATTCGAAGTGGCGATTAATCACCTAAATATTGCAAGTAAAATTCTGTTTGACATGTAAGCAATTACAGGCAATAATTTTTAGATATCACATTTGTAAAATATCCCATTTATTAATCAGTATTTGGCAAAACACATTTATAAAGAGTTATAGGTGTTTCCTTATCCCTGAAATCACCCATTAGTTTCAGTGAAACAGTCTTCAAGCCTTTAATCCCGTCACTTATTTCTGTATCTGATTGGCAAGTCTGCATTAGAAACTAGTGGTAGATAATAAGCTGGCTGTATCAGAAATTTTAAATTAGCAATTACTGATTGCTTAATTCTGTGCCTTGCTATCTAATGACAACTGTTGTGATGAAAACTGCTTGTGCATCGTGTTCTGTTGACATTAGCAAATCTGAAATATTTGTGGAGTGCTTTTTATAAACCGAAGTGGACTGATTTTTAACCTTTATTTCTTTCCGTATTTCTTTTCTCTTTTTATTTCTTTATTCATTTTCCTGCTCAACTCTGTCAAAAACTCTTTAATTCTCCCTCAAACAAACAACCCTCCTCCCAAAAATACTCTAACTACACTAAATATACGTTTGTGGTACCCCATTCTAACATCAATAAATTAATGATCGATAATATGTCTCTTTCATTCAAGATATTTTGTTACCTGTGCTAAGGATAGCACAAAAAAAGTAGTATTTGATTTCTGTCTTCTGTGGACTTAGTGTATTTGAGAATGTGAAACACCTGAACATTTAATTAACACAGAGAATATTATAGATGCTGAATGGCAGTGCAAAGTTACTGTCAAATGAATATAAATAGAATAACTCACTTCAGGGACAGAGTGATCGCTCTAAAAATAGAAGACGTTAACGTTTGTCGAGCCCCCGCCTTGTGCTGGGTTTATATTAAAGGGACAGTGCTCACTTAATTTTCAATATCTCTTTAAGGCGGGTAGTTTTATTCCCCTTTGGTAGACGACTAAAGTAAGGCCCAGCAACAAGGTAAGCCAGCTAGAGAGGGGCGGCGATGGTGCCCCTGACACTGTCGAGTCGGCTTTAAGGGAGAGCAGGGTTAACAATGAGACACGGGGACGCAAGCAGGCTGGAGTGGCAGAGAAGCAGCCGCGTCTAGGGGCGTGGCCCGGTGTCTGGAGGAGGAGGCTGTGGTGTGGAGACGGAGAACAAGGTCCGAAAGCAGCACGTGTGAGGCGAGTGGACTTCACCCGGCAGGGCAGCGGGCAGCCGCAGGGGAGTTTGGTCGAGGAGCGAAAGCACAGCTGCGCTTTAGGAAAGGTGATCTGGAGAGAGGGGAGGCCGTTCCGGTGGGGTCAGCTGGAGCCTCTTGAAGCGAACAAGGTTGAGTGCTGAAGTCTGACCTTCGGGGATAGGGCGGGGAAGAGAAGGGGATAAATATAAAGCATTTAGAGGTAGAACTGACAAATCTTAGTGACAGAGGAGAGCTAAAAACAAGTCCAAAAGTCTCAGCACACTTGGCCATAAGGCTGGCTCTTATCATTCTTTACTCAGTAAAAGCTAGTTTGAATTAATTTAAATCAAAATTTTGCTCAGAAGTGTTTATTTTGTACATTAAAAAACTCCTAGGAAAAGAGTAAATTGATTAGAAATTATTTAACTTGGGCCTTTTAGTTTTTCACTTTTATACAATTTATTGTCTCAAAAACATAAGTTGGCTATTATCTTCCTGATATAGATTATTTGTTAATTTTATGTCAATTTATTGAACTTCTGTTTGCAAAACAAAAACAATATATACACGAACTCTCTGGTTGCTAAAAAAGACTAGAGTGAGAAAATAACTCCATTAAACATGTCACTTAAAATGAGTTAATGTTCCCTGCCTGTGTGGCCCATATGAACTTAAGCTGGTCTCCGCCTGGATTCTGGACTTCGTATAAAATTGAAGAGAAAATGGGCACACCCTTTGCATGCGAAATAGCACTTGAGCTCAGCTGTGAAATCAAATTTTGATATGAGGAAATTTTGTTACTCCCTAAAAACTAGTATGTATTTTTAATGTTTTGTTATCTATTTCACTGTCATTTGACAGTGTTTTTGTTGTTTAAGCAAAAAGTAGCAATATATGGTTCTGATAAAATCCTTTGAGTTGGAAAGGGTACATAAATTGTATTAATGTCAAAGAATATCTTGATTTCAGGATGCCCCTAAATCGGGTACTAGTTGCAGCTCTCGCTGTTCAAGTTCCAGACAGGATTCTGAGAGCACAAGGCCAGAATCTGAAACGGAAGATGTCTTATGGGAAGACTTGTTACATTGTGCAGAATGCCGGTCATCTTGTACCAGTGAGACAGATGTGGAAAATCCTCAGATTAATCCATGTGTGAAAAAAGAATATAGAGACGACCCTTTTCATCAGGTTGGTTTACAGAGTTGGGTTATGTGGGGCTGTCAGTCCAGCTCCTTCGAATGTATGTACACATTTTACCGAGGTGAAGAAAAAGCTTGCATTCAATTAAAATAATATTCCTGTAATTTTTTTTTTTATGTGAGCTGTGGTCTGGCTTCCTTGGGACACAGAATCTCAGTACTGATATTGTGGTTGTGTCTCTCACCTTGCAAACATATGTTCCTGAGGAGTTGTTGGTAAATGGAGTTTTGAAGGTCAAATTGTGTTTTGGATGCGTTAGTCCTTTTCTCAGTCAGCATACTTCATGGTCAGATTATCTACACCTGTGGCCTTAACGCCACCTAAGATTATAATTCACAAATCTACATCTCATGAATATCAGATTTGCATCTCCAAGTGCCTATAGTGATGCTGTCTAGCGGGAATATAATGTCACATATGTAATTTTAAATTTTCTAGGAGCCTCATTAAAAACATTTAAAAAGGTAAAATTAATTTCAGTATGTTTTATTTAACCCAGTGTATCCAAAATATTATCACTTTAACATATAACTAATATGAAAAATACTAATGAAATATTTTACATTTTTTATACCAAGTCTTCAAAATCTGCTGTGAACACTTACGGCATGTCTCATTTGGACTAGCCATGTTTCAGGCGCTCAGTAGCCACACGTGAGAAAGCACCAGATTGGACAGCACAAGTCCATAAATACTTTCATTTGAATATCCCACCAGTACCTCAAATGTACCAAACACCCCATCTTCCGTCATAAATCTGCTTTCTCATGGCATTCAAAACCTGGTGAACGACATCTCTATCCATCCATTCACCAGTCAGAACCTGGTGGCCGTTTAAAATCCTCACTCTTTCTCCCCTTCTCTCTCTTATCCTATTCCTTATCAAATCCTAATCATAAAACCAACAAGTAAACGCTGGGAAAGCTAGAGATAGAAGGGAACTTTCTTAATCTGATGAAGGGTGGCTATCAAAGAGCCTTCTAAAGACCTGTCATGTTTCATGAGGAAGTTTTAGGAGCATTTCTGTTAAAGGCAGGAGCAAGACAGAGATGCCCGTTATCACTGCTTTTTCTATCAGAATCTTACCAGCACGTTTGTTGGTTTGTTCGACTGGTTTGGGTTGGACTAGACTGATTTAAAAGTCCACGTTAAAGAGCAAAGTGTCAAGAATAGCAAAAACAATCTTGAAGAACGACAGGAGGACTTTCCCTTCTGGGTATAAAAATGTAAGGGTGTAATAATCAAGATAGTGCAGTGTAGGGGTATGCTACAGACCGAACGTTTGTGCCCCCCCCCCCACCCGCTCCCCGCAATTTGTGTGTTGAAACCTCATCCTCAGTGCGATGGTATTTGGAGGTGGGGCTTTTTGGAGGTGATTACGTCGTGAGGGGGGAGCCCTCACGAGCAGGATTAGTGCCCTGGAAAGAGGCCCCAGAGAGCTCCCTTGCCCCTTCTGCCATGAGAGCTTACAGCAAAAACAAGGACCGGGACCTGGGCTCTCACCAGACACCAGATATGCCAGCACTTTGATTGTGGACTCCGCAGCCTGCAGAACTGTCAGAACTAGACTTCTGTTGTTCACAAGCCATCCAGTCTGGCATGTTGTCATAGCAGCCCAAACAGACTAAGGCAGTGTGTAAACAAGTAGACCAATGGGACAGAGTACAAAACCCAGAAACAGATACATCCCTAATGTATGACCTAAGTGCATTACAAGTCAGTGGGCAAAGGATGGGCTGTTCAGTATCTGGTTGTGGATCAAACGATTATCTATATGCAAAAATTTATTCCAGATAGTTCCTAAATGTGAAGAAGCAAAACTTTAAAATATTTAGAATAAAATATAGAAGAAAAATCTGCATTACTTTAGGTAAGAGAAGAATTTGTTAAACAAGATACAAAAAGCACAAACATTGAAAATGAGGCGATTGATAAATTTGAATGTCTTAAAATTTAAAACTTTGCGCTACAAGTTAAGCCATAAACATTGTTAAAAGACCAGCCACGGACCAGAAGAAGATATTTGCAGCACGTTAACTATCACAGTAGGACTATACAGAGCCCATAAAGAACTCGTACAGGTGAATGAGTAAACGACAAATGACTCAGTAGAAAAATGGACAAAAGATGTGACCAGGCAACTCACCCAGATGTCTAATGTCCAGGTACAATGGTCAGCCTCGTTAGTAATCAGGGAAAGGTACATTAGAGCAATGGGATGCACTTCGTATTGGCCAGATTGTCAGAAATGTAAAAATCTGACAGCCTGCAGTGTTGGCGAGGGTGTGAAGAAGGAAGAGGTCTTGCTCAGTGCCGATGTTAGCAGAAGCCCGTGCAGCTCCTCTGGGGAGCAGTGCGTCATCACGTGGTGAAATCGCAGGTCCTCCTAACCCAGGACTCTCATCTCACTCCAGGGAAACTTGGGAAGGTGGGCACAAGGAGACGTATTTAAAAATGTTCATTGTATTGTGTGTAATAGTGAAAATAATGTGATAGCCAACAATAGCAGAATTAATGAATCATGGCATATGAGAAAACAATATACAGCAGTGAAATTGAAGGAGCTCGGAGCTACATATATCAAAACGAATAATCTTGTGAATGTAATTTTGAATGAAAGAATTTGCAGAATTATATATAAAATATACCATTTATGTAAAGTTTTAAAACATGCAAGGCTATATTATGTATTATGAATGGATAAAAGCATATACAGTAAGAATATAAAACATGAGTATAAAAACATGCAAGGTGATAATAAACACCACATTTAGGATAATAGATCTGGGGAATAGAAGGGGACAAGAGCAGGGAAGGGCACAAAGTGGGTTTCAATTTTGCCTGTAATATTTTTTTGTTAAAATATCTGCAGCAAATAGAGGAGAAAGTTAAAATCTGATAAAGCCGAGTATTATTTATTCTCTATCTGATTGAAGTGTTTCAATTAAAAAAGGTATCCATGAATTTTGGCTTCAACTACAGGAAAAGTGTCGGGAAGGAAGCTTTGCTCCAGGGCCATGAGGAGTGAGAATGAGGAATGAGGTTTAAGAATCATGGCCGTGAAGGTGTGGAGAAAGTGAAATATCAGTTAGATGTGGAAACTGCAGTCGAATGAGTATTTTGGTCCCCACCCCACAAGATGTGAGCTATTTGAGCACCTGTGTACAAAGGAGAAAACCAGTAGGGAAGAATTGCAGAGGTACAGGAGAAAGAGTTGTCAGATGAGGTTCCTTAGGATACTGGAGGGGAAGCATAATCAGGAAGCCTAGCCTTCCACAGGAAGAGGGACACGCCATCTGCTGAGATAGAAGGAGGAGGAAGCATGCGTGAAGATGACGGGAGAGTCACTGCCTGGTGGTCTCTAGTCTGGAGAGCAGGAGGCCAGGGGGCTCTGCCGTGAGGAGTGAGGCGGTGGCATAGGGGACTTGTGGATGACAGTGGAGGTTGAAGTTAGCCTTTGTGACAAATGGAGATGGTGGAGAGAGAGTGTGTGTATGCGTGTATTCAAGCCAGTGAATCAAGAGTTACACTGCCATATTGTCGCACCTCTAGCTGGAATCTGAAACCGTGAATTCGTAGTTGCCACACCGTTGTGTGATAGTCTCTGGAATGTAGTTGTAATAATCATAGTAATAGCAGACATTTAGTAAGCACTTGCTGTATGCTAGGCACTGTGCCAAGTAGTCTAGGTGCGTTTTCTCATGTAACCCTCACAGCCTACGACAGTGTTGTTTAGTGTTTTTTATAGATGAGAAAACTGAGGCTCGGAGTCAAATAATGCAGCCAAAGTCACACAGCATGGGTGCTCAGTTAAGACCTGCTATGTGAGGGGCAGAAGAGGGGCTGATGCGCTGATTGAGATGATGGATGTGGTAGGAGTCTAGACGTGTTAGACTGAGTGGTAAATGAAAGCAAGAAGGAGCCGACAGGTTGAAGGAGGTGTGCTCAGGGAAGCAAGCCTTTTGGAATTGAAGGCTTGAGAGGCCCGGGAAGATGGGAGGTCGTGGTTCAAGGCTTGTTTCAGAAGTAGAGCAGTTCAGGGTGGTGACAAGGTCCAGGGTGTAGCTGAAGGTCCCTGGAATTTAACAAGTGGAAAACAGTGAGCAGTCCATGAGAACAGGGTGTGGGTGACTCACCTGCGTGTCCCCCTGAGTCACCGAGGGTGGTAACCGACCTGAGGTTTAGGAACATCCCAGTGACACCGAGAGCGGCGTGGGAGGGGACCCTGCGTTCTTTTGCCCGTTGTTGTATCACGGGGTGCTTGGCACATAGTAGGTGTTGAACCAACATTAGCTGAGTGAATGAAGGAAGCAAAATAAAATTTTTTCAAAACAAGCCAATTAGGCCTTTCTTAAATGATTAAAAAAAATGTTTTTAATGAATGCTATACGGAAGAAATTGGCCCTGAGTGTATATAGCAGTCTGCTCCTTTTTCGGTAAGATAAATTTTTTTAATGTTCTACTCTGCATATCTAAATTTAGTATCCTAGCTTACATTGGTTTTGCTTTGGGATCAAAGACTTGATTTTACACACATTGCTTATTCTCCGCCTTCTAAAAAATAAGCTATGTTTTCGGTTTTACTAGTAGCTCTGTAATGGAAATTAGCTCCCTGTAATGAAAAGCTACGAGTTTTTTTCTTGTTTGACTCAGGTCTGTATGAGGTTTGGAGGACCCTTTTCTGCACATAAGGACTGAAAATCTATCCTCTCGAGCACTGAATCTGTGTTCCACTTGGGATGTTCCCAAATTCGTGGTTTTGTTTTATTGTTTGTTTTAGTTTCTTTGTAAACGCTAACTGAATCATTTCTGCAGGAGAAATTTTTTCTCCTCTAGTCATGGCTGAATATATAATAAAATATAAAGCCATATTCAAGTGAAATTCATTTTTCAGTAGGTAACGCCAGATTTTAATGGCTGCAGTTCCCACAGGTGGAAACTCCGGGAAAGTGGTTGTCGTGGTGACTTTATTTGAAATAAAACATGCCGCCAGTTAAGGTTTTCAGGCACTTTGGAACAAACAAGGAGCAAAGGAATTCAGATTTTGGATGAGGATAAAAAACAATCATTAACAGGGTTCCAAATTTTAGTTTGGAAAACATACTAAGAAGAACCTATGTAAAGAATTATAGAATCAGATTCTTTGCTCTGATGTTTCCCTGAGCCCTTGTAAACTCGTTCTTATGACGCTGCTCCCCAGCCACTGTAGGCACACATTTCAACAAGGCGGTTTTTCAGAATACGTTTGCCAAACACACACACATACACAGGTATGATCCTTTTAGTTACTTCTTTTTAAATTGACCAGTTTCTAGTTGCTCCCTTCTCTTGCCTTTTGGCTTTCTAGAAATGGGAAAATGGTACCAAATGCTAGTTAGGTAGCTGGGCAAAGTGAGTGCTTTTGGAAGGAGCGTGAAGGACTTGTTGCTTTTCCGTCTGTGGATGGACCTCCTGGTCCTGACGTGTGTGGGGATCCAGAAGCCCTATCACTCACTCTTGCAGACTGAGAGTTAAAGAAAAGGAGCCTGGCAATCAGCGGTTCTGTTTCACCCCTCAGGCTTGGTACTCTTCCATTCAGCTCCTTGCACTTGTTCCTGGCTTTTCAGTCTCGTTATGTTTCATAATTATTAAATTTTCAGGGAAACTTTGATACATATTTTGGTGCAAATTATTTCTGTTCCAAACTAGAATATTTAGTTTGGGGATAAATTATGAAACGTCATTTGAAGAATTAAGTGGCTGGTTAATACTTAATACCTCCCAGTTCCTGAGGCTCCCCAGTAGTGATATATACACCATGACAGTTAGTGTACATTGCAATTCCATATTTTTGGAAAAGATAAGTTTTTAGGGGAAACCTCTTCATAGGCAAATAACTAAATGGAAAAAAGCTTTGCAGTAGCATGGCTGTTGGCATTATGGTTTGCCCATAATTGTTTGTCAGTTTTTATTCTGTTAATAGTAAACATGGCATATATAACTTTACAGAAAGAAAATTAATGTATGAGCTCAGAATAATAATTTCCCATCTGTTTTCTTACATATCATTGAACTATTTCATACCTTTAATCAAAATGAATCAATGCAACTTTACTCCCCCTAGAGGAGAATTCTGTATTCCTTAAGTTTACAGAAACATCTTTACCATATTTTAATCACATTTTTGTCCTCCAAAGAATAAATATAACTGGAGTATATTCTTTTGTCCATTGTTAGAAATTATTTTAATGAAATATGTTTTAGAAATGTTAGAAATACTGTAATATTCATCCTATTCTGTATGTTTATGTAATGAGCGTATTCATCCCATTCGGGGTCTAACCTTTAGTGTTTCATTAATTTTGTTGCTATCTTAACCCACAGCTATCCTGTTTTGAAGTTTTATTTCTTTAACTATAGATCTAAAACAAACTAAAAGACCCAAGCAAACTTAAGCATCTGATCCTTTGTATTAAGGCTTTCAGTTTTTCTTTTTACCTTTTTCTCTTCCTTGTTCCACTGAGAGACTTTATTCTGCTGGGAGAGTACTTCTAGTCCTGTGTGCTTCCGTTTGCAATATCTGCTCCGAGGAAAGCAAGTTAAATTGATCCTTTGGAGAAATACTAGATTGAAATATCAGAAAAGTAACTGAATCACATACTAAGGGCAGGTGTGTGAGGAAGAGTCCGTCAGGATGAGGTCGTGTCACTGTTCAGTCTTTCAGAGCAGGCCGGATCTGAGTGTCGTGTTCTCGTGTGTTGAATGGACAATCAGCATTGTGAGCGATGTGATACTCATCGTCTCTGAACATTATATATTAGTAGCTGTGTAGACAGATTGACAACTAAGTGCTTTTGCTCATGCATTTTAGATACTTTTGAGCAATAGGTTGCCTAATGTCTGTTATAGAAAGTTCTGAACTTACACATTTTTATAGCTGTATAATTTTTTATGCCATCTGTTCAGTATATAAGCTAACTAACTTTAAGAATTTTAGTGTCACTGAAATTGTGTATAGATACAGATATAGCTGTGCATAGATGTAGATATATATATTCTGTTTATAAAATGTTTGGTAAGTGCATCACCAATTTCTATTTTCTAGTGTAGTTAAAAATTGTGTGTAGAGATATGTGTACACACACAATTTTATATACACATGAATATGTTTTATTTATGAAATGTGATAAATGTACTCACCAATTTCTGTTTATTTTTCAGAGTCATTTGCCCTGGCTCCACAGTTCCCACCCTGGATTAGAAAAAATAAGTGCGATAGTGTGGGAAGGCAACGACTGCAAGAAAGCAGACATGTCTGTCCTTGAAATCAGTGGCATGATAATGAACAGAGTGAGTGTGTAAATTTTATTCTTTTAGTTCAAGGATAAGATTAGTAATGTATTAAATAATTACAGGAATGTTATATTTATAACTTAGCTCAATTCTTATTTGTATTTGGCTCCGCCTGTGAGGTAAGCAGCGGTCTGTCTCCAGACCACCCCACTCTCGTTTGCTAGTGTTTGACTCTTCTGACCAAGAGCACATGCTAGAATCTAAAGTTTTCTTTGGTACGTTATCCTTTCTTTTGCTTTCAGTGGACCGAATTGAGAAGCTGCTAGACACATACAAGTGTTGGTGACGACTCATTGTTTTCTGCATCAGTCCTCCTGGTTCATTTATTTACTAGTACCCGAAACTTTTAAAAAATTCAAACTAGCATTTGTTTGAATACAAAATAGAAACTTTGCATTCATACTTGCTTGCCCGCTGAAATATGTGGAAGTAATGCAGCCGGTGGTAAAATCTTGAGTAGTTTGAAGAAGTAGGGCACAAATGCTGTGGATTTCAATTTCAGTGTGTGTTAAATTGTTCTTATCAGATCATTACTACTTGTTAAGTTTTGCCTGATTCCTCTGGACACCGAGGCACGATTTAACTCGTAGTTCTAAATTGCTTGTGCGTTATTATGCCAGAACTGTTGTGCACACTTTATGTAAGACAGGATCTAAAATAACTGGATCCAGAAAATGATCTGCTTCCTATCACATATCTCGGTGTGAGCAATGAGGACCTGTGGACGAGGAGTGTCTGGGTTCTCGGATCTGGTTGGTGTGCTGTGCCTTCACTTCTGTGACCTAGCAGACCGTTTACATGATGTACAATATGACATTAGCAAGTTAGCTAGATGATGTTTGAGATCCCTCCCAGTTCTACTAATCTTATGTTTTCACATTATTTCCAATTTCCTTTTTTTAATATTTTTTTTTCTGAAGAAGACTGGCCCTGAGCTAAAATCGTGCCCATCTTCCTCTACTTTATATGTGGGACGCCTACCACAGCGTGGCTTGCCAAGCGGTGCCATGTCCACACCCTGGATCCGAACCAGCAAACCCCGGGCCACTGAGAAGCAGAACGTGCGCACTTAACTGCTGCGCCACTGGGCCAGCCCTCCTTCTTTTTTTAATTAATTAATTTTTTTTGGTGAGGAAGATTTGCCCTGAACCAACATCTGTTGCCAATCTTCCTCCTTTTGCTTGAAGAAGATTGTCCCTGAGCTAACGCCAGTGCCAATCTTCCTCTATTTTGTTTGTGTGACACCACCACAGCCTGGCTGACAAGTGCTGTAGGTCCACACCCAGGATCCGAACTTGCAAACCCAGGTCACCAAAGCGGAGTGCACTGAACTTAACCACTAGGCCACAGAGCCTGCCCCTCCAATTTCCTTTTTTATGCTTCCTTGACCCTTTTCCCCCTTCTCTTGCTTAGTTTTATATCCCCTTTAGCATACTCTCTCTTCTAAAATGGTTTTAGAGTTTAAGGGGACATCCGTTTGTATACTGAGCTCTTTAAAGAAAAACACAAATTACAAGTTTATCAAGTAAGTATAATTCTAGATTTTTCCTTTAATGAACTGGATTTAGGTGGATTTAATATTGCAGTATTTGTGAATATTTTGCTTTTGAAAAGATCTGAGTAAGACTGAAATAACTTTCCTTTTGCATCTGCTTAGTGACTTAGAGATCTGATGACGAACTGTCTTTAAAAACTGAAGAAATAATAACTTGTATTTTACACGTAACAGGCTCTCAAACTGGAAATTTAAATTTTATTATTCATGTATTAAAACTATATTTTAACAGAATAATTTCATATCGCTATAAATAAAATAATGCTTAATAGGAACTCATTGTACTGTAGATACGATTTGTGTAAGTTTGTTCTTTTCCCCTCTCTCCATGAAGGTGAACAGCCACGTACCAGGAATAGGATACCAGATTTTTGGAAATGCAATCTCGCTCATCCTGGGTTTAACTCCGTTTGTTTTCCGACTCTCCCAAGCTACAGACTTGGAACAACTCACGGCTCATTCGGCTTCCGAGCTTTACATGATTGCATTCGGTTCTAATGAAGACGTCGTAGTTCTTTCTATGGTCATCATAAGTTTTGTGGTTCGTGTGTCTCTTGTGTGGATTTTCTTTTTCTTGCTCTGTGTAGCAGAAAGAACTTATAAACAGGTGGGTACAAGATAGACTTCTGAATAGAGAATATTTTATCTTTTTCATAATATTCCAAGTATTCCTGAAGTATTTTAGTATCTCATTAAATCGTTTTGACCTGCTAATTATTTTCCTGTTTCGTTTTTGTAATACTTAACCAGGTAAAACCACAACCATCTAAATTCTGTGGATTTTTGATTGTCTGTGGTAATCTACTCAGAAATTAATCCTTGTCTTAATCTTTTTTAGCGATTACTTTTTGCGAAACTCTTTGGACATTTAACGTCAGCAAGGAGGGCTCGAAAATCGGAGGTTCCTCATTTCCGGCTGAAGAAAGTACAGAACATAAAGATGTGGCTGTCGCTCCGGTCCTATCTTAAGGTAGAATGGCGCTGATGATGGCATTCTCCCTGCGCTTGCTCCCTCCCGTGCTGCAGCTTCTTTGTCAATGCACGTGTGTCTAGATGCACGGTCACATCTGCACTCACGTGCTGGTGCACTGCGACCGTGCTGTGTTCTTTTGGATCCATTTGCAGAAATGCAACGTAGGTGTCCAGCTGGTCCTTTACACTAGACCCCTGAAGTCTAAAAGGCTTAAGTGCATCTTAGGTAGGAGAGTGAAGATCAGAGTGTCTTAAATTGACCTTTGTTCATAAATCTCACCAACTTGTGCTCATTCAAAAGCTAAAGTAAAGGTTTTATTTCTATCTAGGATGGTTCTCACAAGCCAGCAGAGGGAGCCCACTGCTTCAAAAAGAATTTAAAAAGTAATCTGATCAGTGAGTCGCCTCACTGCGGTGGCCTGCTACTATTTAAAAATATTAGCTTGTAATTCTGAGCCATTCTTTTCATGCCTTTCTTTTCTTTTAATCTTTTTAAGTAACTTTCCTAATTGTGGAAGTAAGATGAAAAACTCAGGAGGGAAGTGGGAAGTATCTGACTTAGTTTTAGGAAGAGCCTTCATCTGCGGGTTCTGTCTTCGTGGCATTAAGTAGCCCTCAACTCCGTTACATCCTGACTCATCCCATCTCAGTCGAGTTGACCAAAGCCCAAACACCCTCTGGCATACCTAGGTCTTTCCTGCTTTTTATTTTGAAGTAACAATGAAAGAAGTGAAAAAACGCTAGCACTAGTCACCCGCCACGTACCGACATTTCAGTCAATGACAGACCGAATGTGCGACGGTGGTCCCAGAGGTTAGTGCCACACAGCCCGGGTGTGTAGTGGGACATCCGTCTAGGTTTGTGTACAAGGACGCTCGGTGACGTTTGCACAACGACGAAATCACCTAACAACGCGTTTCTCAGAGGGTATCCCGTTGTTAAGTGACGATGACTGTGTTTGTCTACCCTTTTGTTTAAAAAATTCATTATTCTATTTATTTATTTAACTTGTTAAATTCAGCTAACTTCGTGTCCATTGAGAAATGCTGCAGGTTGGCGTAGATTATTTTTTCTCACTGTGACGTTCTGTAGTGTGGAGGGAGGGATCTGATCTTTGTTGTGTGTCTTAGTCAGAAGCCACTCCAAATTTCCCCTCATCCTCAACCCGGAGTAGGTATTGCAATCTTTGGCACATTGATTATTTTATTCGGTAAACATTTATTTAATGTTGACCATGTGCCATCCGCTGTTGATGAAATAAAAGTTCCTGCCCTGGGCAACTTACACGTCAGTGAGGGAACACGTAACCCCAGACCTGAGAATTATCCTTGGTGTTTACTTCCCTCTCTTGCGTTGGCAACATCCAGTTTATCACTACTTCCCACCTTTCTGCTTCCAAAATGGATCCTGAATCCATTTACTTCTCTTGGTTTCCATTTCCACCGCCCTAATTGAACCATCAGTCGTCTTATGCATTGGGCTACTGCAGTTGCCTCTTAACTAGCCTTCCAGTACTTTCTTCAGTCTGCCGCCAGAGATCTTTTAGAAATGTAGTTTGACCACATAATTCTTAAAACCTTTTTGGAGGTTCTCCCTTGCTCTTGGTGTAAAGAACAGAATCTTATCAGGACTTAGGATGCCCTTCGTGACCTGGCTCCTGCAGGCAGCCTGCATCTCTTGTCTCACTTTGAAACCCTTTGCTCCCTACATTCCAGCCACACTGGACCCCTTCAGGTCTCTGAATGCACTGTGGTTGTTGCTGCTTTATGCCCTTGCACGTTCTCTTCCTTCTGCCAACAGCACTGCCCTGTGCCTTCCTCCCCCTGCACCTTAGTTTGGTGTGAAAATCACTTCCTTAGGGAGATCTTCCCGGGCCTACACAATCCTGTATTTGGGAGTTAGGAGTGTGGACCCAGGAAGATTTCCCTAAGGAAGTGACTTTTACACCAAACTCCCTACCAGTCTTCTCAGAGCATCCTGTACCTTTGCTTCATGGCGCTCATCACAGCTTATCGCATATGTCTGTGATCAAGAGCTTGAGGTCTGACCCCGTACGAGTTCCTGTGAAGGCAGGGACCACTCTGCTCTTCCCTCTGCGGTATTTCCAGCACCTAGCACAGCGCCTCACTCTGAGCCGGTGCTCAAGAAACGTTTGTTGAATAAGTGATTAGTGTTTGACAAAATGAAGTATTTGGAAGTTATGCTAGGAATTCTATGCTATGTATTTACCGTTTTCACTGTGTTGCAAATCCTGAGGAAATAGTAATACTTTATAATTAAAATTCATCTGACAAATTAGGTGTATTTTCAACATTGTAAGCTATGACCAACCTGCAGTGATGGATCAACACGTTAATTGAAAGCGTGGACTTAGCTGCTAAGATATTTAACAGTGTTTTCTCTTTTTCCCCAGCGTCGAGGTCCTCAGCGATCGGTCGACGTCATAGTGTCATCTGCTTTCTTGTTGACCATCTCGGTTGTGTTTATCTGTTGTGCCCAGGTGAGCTCACTTGTTCTGTGTGGAAATTAGATAATCGTATCTATAAACATGCGGCTTCAGAATGCTTTCTAATAATAAACAATCAAAGTAATAATATAAGTAAGCCTAGTTACACAAGTTTTGAAACTGACTTTTTGCAGTTTATTTTCTTTCAGAAGAATAAATTATCTTATTCATCTCTATGCCACAAACAGTGGCTAGCATATTCTCAGATGTCTATTAATTAGTTTTTGTCTACAATTCACCTGGTTATCTTTATTTCCAAAAACAAACTTATGAGTGACTAGAGTTATGAAATTGTTTCGGACTGTTTTCAATGAATTTCTGCTTTCATATTTAATATTCATATACTTTGCATATTTAATATTCTATTTTATATCTGAGTTGTAACTGTGACTTGACTGCCTCATGTTCGAAAAAAGAATTCTCATTGACCAAAATTAGGAAGCGGAAAAGCATCTCAGAATATATTCTATACTATAAAACTTAAACTTCTATTTCAAGCAATATGACATACTAGATTACCTGAAAATTCTTCTGCTTTAAAATACCATACAATGCTCTCAAAAAAGAAAAAACAACTTTTTAATATATATATATGAACATTTTTATATACATATCACATACATATCTGAGTTTATAAGACAGTAGGAGGCCAAAAATGAAGATAAAACTGAAAAACAGAGCAATTAAGTGTGTGTGTTAATGTCGTGGCAGCCCCAGGATAAGCACGTGACGGACGTTGTCAGACTTAGTATCCTGGAGATTTGAGATTTTGTGCCCACGTGAGCCGAGACCCAGGGCCTTGGCCTGCAGCCCTCCTTATGCGTGCGTATACTGTAAGGCCGGGGCCCTCCAAGGCCTTCAGTCTCAGTGAAACGGAGGAATAAGAAAGACGGTCTGCCCACCAGCACAGGAAGACGTAGGGAAGCGTGTCTGACTCTGCCTGGACTCTGCTAGGGTGTGTGACTGTGGGTCTGCCCTCATCACAGGGTCAGGGTTCAAATGTACGTTACAGACCTTGTCCTGTACCCCTTCTGTCAAGGGTTAATATAAAAAGTGATCTTAGGCTCCCGGTACCTGGCAGAAGCAAAACCAAGACTGTTCTGGTGGAATTTGACTTCAGCCGAGGCCTCCCAGGATTTTCACAGATGAAGCCACTTCAGGTTTCAAAACACTTGAGGAGATATCTCAACATGAACGAGTCGGCAGATCGACAAACTGCAGGACCAGGTCTCCAGCTACTGCAGATGAGAGAGTGATCAGAGAGAGACTGTAAGACAACTTGTTTAGAATGATTAAAGACATGGGTAACACTGAAAAAAGAACAGATAGATTTGGGAAAAACACAAACAGCACTTCAAAGAAATGAAAAATATAGTCATTGACATTAAGAACACAACAAACAACAAATAGCAGATTGAAGACTGCCAAAGATAGTGAACTGGGAGATGGAAGAAATTATCCGGAACATAGGACAGAAAGAGAGATGGAAGTGTGGGAAGGAGGTTGAGACAGATGGGGGACCCAACACGTAGCTCATAGGAATTCCAGACGGCAGGAAGAGGGAGAGCAGGATTTGGAGAGATGAGGCTAGGAGTTTGTCTGAACTGATGAAAGACATTAGTCTTCAGATTTAGGAAGCACGGCAAGAACAAGAAGCAGCAATAAAAATAAATCCACACTTAGACACATTGTAGAGAAACTGTAGCACACCAAAAACAGAGAAAAATCTTAAAAGCAGCCAAAAGGAAAAGACAGATTTTCTTTTACTCACAGTTTCTTATTGCATCTCAGTCTTTTCTTAGGGTTTGATTTCAATGTTGCTGAAGTGCATCCTGCAGTAGTTGTCTCTCTCACGAACATAAGATCTATCTATTGCTATCAACAAAAGACACATGAAACATGGGTAACATTGAAAGCTTTTGAACGTAAAAGGATAGAAACAGATGTTGTAGGCAAATACTAGCCAACAGAAAGCTGGTGAATTTCCATTAATATCAGATGAAATAGTAATCCAAGAAGAATTGCTGGGGATAAGGAGAAGCCTGACAAAAGTTGAAAGAATAATTTTTCAAGAAGATAGAACAATTCCAAAGTAATCATATAACTTCAAATATATGGCCAAAATCAATAGCACTGTAGTGAGAAATTGACAAAATACCACGTTGGGAGATTTCAACACATTTCTTTCAGTAATTGGTAGATGAAGCAGACAAAAGAATATATAGTAAGTACACGTATCTAAACAAGATAGTTAAAAGTTTGTTCTGAGATTGGAGAATGTATTCTTTTCAGGCACAAGGACAGTTTATAAAGCTTTGCCGTGGACCAGGCCGCAGAGTGGCTCTCAGCTGGTAGCGTACAGACCTCTTGCTCTGGCTGTAATGCAGAAATCAATGACAGCAGCAAAAAACTCACACGGTCGGAAATTTTACAACATACAAATAGCAAATGTGTAAAAAGGAAAAGCATAGTATTAAACTGTAAAGGGCTGGTACAGTTGAGAATTTTTTTTTAAGAATACTAGTATAAATTACTTTATGTCATTAAAGTTGAAAGCTTTAGGTGGACAATTTTCTAGAAAGGCATAATTTATTAAAACTGACTCAAAATTAACTGAAACCTGAGGAGACCTGTAACCATAAAGTGGTATTGATTCATAGTTTAAAAATCTGCCACTGACAAAAATCCTCGGGACCCATGTGCATTTACAGGTGAATTTTGCCAAATATTCAAGTAAACAGGAAATCCTCGTCCTACACGAAAGATCTAAAGAATAGAAAAAGAGGGAATATCCCCCAGTTCATTTTATGTGGCTGACGTAACCTTGATAGCAATGCCACAGAGACACATGAAAATGGGAAGCTGTGAGCTAATTTCCCTCATTAACGTAGACGCAGAACACTAGGAACAAGCAGCCAGCAGGTGCATGACAGTAAGTATTCCACGACTGAGGTCATTTATCCCTGGAACACACACATCTTCAGCTTTACAGAACCCGTTAATCTAGTTTGAGCTCCTCCAGTTGATTAAAGGAAGAGAAAACCTCTGATCATCTCAACAGATGCGGAAAACAAGGCATAAATTTCAGCGGAGAGTCGAGATCTGGTGCCTGGGAAGCACCGTGCTCCGTCTGCTGCACTGTGTGTGTCGAAAGTCAGAGCCCACGTCGTCCGTGTGACATGCGTTACCTTAGGGGGTGTGCTTCAAAGTCAGGAGTCAGACGGCTGCCCTCTCTGCTGCTTCTAGTCAGCATTTTGATGGCGGGTACTAACCCGTGAAGATGGGGAAAAAGAAAGAAATGGGTTAAAGATTGGAAAGGAAAAAACAAAACCATAGACTATGTGATTATCCACATAGAACACCCCAGTGACTTTACAGACAAATTATTAAAAATATGATAGGTCTTTTAGAAGATCATGATCAACAAAAATAGATACAAAATCAACAATAAAAAATTAATTTTGGGGCCAGCCCCAGTGGCCTAGTGGTTAAGTTTGGCGTGTTCTGCTTTGGCGGCCTGGATTTGGCTCTGGGCACAGACCTACACCACTCGTCTGTCAGTGGCTGTGCTGGGGCAGTGGCTCACATACACAAAGAGGAAGATTGGCAACAGATGTTAGCTCAGGGCGAATGTTCCTCAGCAAGAAAACATCAATTTTATTTCTGTAAGCCAGAGATCAGGGAACTTCCTCTGTAAAGAGCTGGATAGTAAATATTTTAGACTTTTGCCTGACACATGCAGTCTCTCATATATTCTTCTCCGGCCCTCCTTTAAAATTTTAAGTACCACAAGAGACACCAAAAATGACAAAACAGAGTCTTGGAAAAGATATTGGCAAAATAAATGGCTTAAATAGCATTGTTACTCAGACTATATAAACAATTTCTACGATCAGTATGAAAAACAGACAGCCTCGTAGAAGAAAGTGCATATAGGATATGAGAAGGTAATTTACAGGAGAGGAAAGTGAGTGAGCACCAAGCGTATGAAGCGCGTTCATCCCCCTAAGTAGTCAGGAAAAGTGCAAGTGAAACAACGAGAGAGCAGTTTACACCCACCATATTGCAGGAACTCGGAAGGTGGGTACTACCAAGAGTGGACAAAAAGAGGTCAAAGGGAACTTGGCTACACTGCTGAGAGTGTAAATCGGTACAGCTGTTTTTAGAGGGAAAGTTGTCATATCTAATAAGGTTGAATATGAGAACATCCAAGGACCCAGCGATTTCACTCCTAGATACTAACTCCTGGAGAGAGTCCCGGATGTGCACAAGGAGACACATCAAAGGGTGTTTATTGCAGCGTCGTCTGTAGTAGGAAAGTTGGCAACAAAACCAACGTGAGTTGGGAGAGTCGGCCGGCACACTGTGGTCGGGTCCGTTACTGTAATTCCTCGTAGGAGGTGGAATGGATGGTCAGAGCTTAGTGCACCAACACGGTTGAGGGTGGAAAACAAAGTTCAGTGGAATAAAAAGCAAACTGAAGAATGATACGGGCAGTGTGATAACATTTATGTAATTGTGAAATATATATAAGTAACAGTATAAGGATGCATATGTAGCTAAATTATAAAAACTGCATGGAGGAGATAAACAGAAAATTCATTACCCTTATGGAGGGGGGTGGGGAAGAAGGGAATGGTGGTCAAGAAAAGCGTAAAGGGGTTTAATCTGAATCTGTAACCCTTTGTTTTTCAAAAATCTGAAAGAAATCTTACAGATAATAAGATCTGACAAGAGTGGGTCGAGGCCCCATGGATTTTGGTTACACTGAACTCTGTACTTTTTATGTGCTTGACATGTTTCATAGTAACGTGGAATGTTTTTTAAATGTAATACTACATTCGTGATCAAATGAATGAGGTAGAGTGTTATTTTCTTTTAAAAAGAGGTTGTTCGAATCCCGTTGCTTCTTGTTCCCTTTTCGTACACTTCTAGCTGCTTCACGTGCATGAGATCTTCCTTGACTGTCACTACAATTGGGAGCTGGTCATCTGGTGCATCTCGTTAACACTTTTTCTCCTAAGATTTGTTACCCTCGGGTCAGAAACCAGTAAAAAATATAGCAATACCTCAATATTACTCACTGAACAGGTGAGCATGCATGTTTATTATGTTATAAATTAGTGTCTGTAATCTACACATTAAACTAAACGTTTTTGTTTACTTCAAGTTCCTCAGGGCCCTATATTATTAGATTAAGACCATTTGTTTTATAATTTGGTGGGACGCAGCCTCCCTTCAGTGTTTCTGCCTTGATGCAGGTTTGAACTCTCATCTTCTGTTTTTATGTCCCACCTTCACTTGAGAAGAAGGAAGCTCCATTTATAGAAATGCTGGATTTTAGGCCATTAGTGGGATGTGCTTGCTTTGCAGTGTAGCTGAGCCCTATTTGAATAAGCATGAATTTGTATTCACTAGAAAGGATAAAGCGTAGTCATTTTGATGGTTAACGTTATTTTGTATGAATTTGTTTAATATTTTCCTTGCCATTTACTAGGAATTATTGGAAGAAACTTATTGCCAGTGAACTTGTTGAGTATTTTGATTTTGGAAGATCAGTAGCCCTGTCAAACGAGCTCAGTCTCAGGGAAAGGGAGAGGGGCTGGCAAGCGAACTGGTCCCCTCTCTGCTACGGTGCCTTGTCGGCCGGTGTGGCTCCGGGACGGAAGCGCTTCACCTTGTCAGTGACGCCATCCGGTTTCCTTTCTTGTTTCGGCTTTTAGTTACATCTGGAAAGCTTAAATAGCAGTTATTACTTTCTTTATTATTGAATTCTAGAAGCTTATGGCAGGAAATTTGGAATATACAGTAAAGTACAAAGAAGAATATTAATATCACCTATAATCTCAATAACCAGAGAACAACCATTAATATTTTAGAGACTATCTTTCAATTCCTTTTAAAAATGAGTGTTTGTTATAATTTTAAGTATTTTTAATTATTTACCATTTTTTTCTTATGAAAGATAAACCTCTACTTGAAAATGGAGAAGAAACCCAACAAGAAAGAGGAACTGACACTAGTGAATAATGTTTTAAAACTGGCTACTAAACTGCTAAAGGTAAAAACAGAATTGAAACGGACGGGCGGAGAACGCACTGTCCTCACGCTGCATCTTAGTCTTCTGTTCGTGGAGCCCATCTTGTATTTGGTTTTCTAAATTATCTGAACTGTTTCCAAATTATATTTGAGCACGTTCACGCAGTTTACACTTTACTTCTCATTGCAACGCTAATAAAAGTAATCCAAATCATTTCAGTTTTGAGATTTTAGTATCTTAGAGTACTGCAGAGGTTAGATGCATCATTGGAAATTTTTGCCTCCTAGAACTTAAAATTGATTTCAAAAAAGATTTGATGTTACTTTGGAAATCTTTTCATTTTGTATTTCTCAGAGCAGTCTTCTGCTTGGCCTGAGGTAACTTAAAAAGTGGCAATATGTAATCATTGGAATAAATGTACCTCACCAACAAACGTTTACATTCTTAAATCATTTTTGGTAACAGTTGAAAAGAATATAATTTCAGTTCATCGGATCTCATAATAATAACCCTTTGGAGGTAATTTAATAAAATATTTTTACCACTATTTTGCGGTTTTAGTAATGCTTTTCTTTCTTAAAAGGAAAATGTTTTTTTAAATCTCAGTTTCTGTAGCAAATTGAGTATAATTCTTAGAGTCATTTCTAAGTCTTCAGAGAATGGCATGAAGTCAGTTGTGTCTCAGTGTTGTGGTTAATTCTTCAGTCAACTAGAAAGTATTAAATGGGTACAGACTGCGCCTCACTGTGTATCAGGCGGTGAAAGGGTTGGGAAGAGGTGGTGGATTTGCTCGATGCATGTGTGGTGAGTGTCCTCAGAGTGTGGGCACCGTGCTGGACAGGACGAGGCAGTAACCCTGAGACTGACGAGCAGCTTCAGTCGCAGAGTAGAGAGAAATACAGAAATAACTAGAGTACAAAGCACAACAGTGTGATCCTTGCTCATCACACATAGTCTCCTGTCAGAAACCTGGGACTTAAGATAGATTGCTCCTTCTCTCTCACTCTTCACAGCCAGGAAATTCTCGAACCCGTTGATGCAACCTCTCAGCTATCTTCCCATTCATCCCTCTTCCCTATCAGTACGCCCTGAGTCAGACCCTCCTTGTCTCTCGCTTGAGCTTCTGATATGTCGCTGCTTCCAGTCTCACTGCTCTCCACTCCCTCTTCCTCATGGCTGGCCCGCTGGTCCTTCTCACATGCCCCTCCCCTGACTCCGTCCCTCACTGCCAGTCTGCCAGTGCAGTCTGCCTGAGGAATGACCCTTACCTAAGCAGCTGGTTTTGTGAGTTCCTAGCATTTCTTCCCTTGCGCTTGGGTCCTAACAATGCTGAGCGATCCGTAGCGGTTCACAGGTGCCATGTTCTCGTGTGTCTTAGGGAATACCTGCTCTCCCCACCCTCTGAGTTTCAGGAGCACCTTCCTCTGTGGCCTGCTGCCTTTTATAGTGGGTTCTTTATTTGCATGTCTATCAGACTGTAAGGTCCTTCAGCCTGAATCGTAACTTCCCAGAGCCTAGCACAAGGCCTGGCATATAATAACAACTTTAAATGTTTGAATCAATCAATTAATTAATCCGTGTATTTGAAAACTGTCTCAAAGGGGAATTTTTACATATGTATTAATATTGGCAGAAAATTTGGCTAATTACATTTCGAATTCTTCTGCAAAAAGATACTGTTCTCTTTTAGTGTCTTCTCTTACACTGAACAGTCTACTCGAACCTCCTTGTAGCTACTAGACCAGCACTTGACTAGTCTTTCATTTGGGACAGAAGTTGGAGTTACAAATTTAGCTTACAGAGTTCTTTTAAAGGAAGTCACTCTCTCCTAAAAAAATTAAAACTATAATTACTTATTTCAAGTTTAACCAAGTTTATCCTTTCTAAAACTACGCCTAATTTGTAACCGTTTTTGAAGGTGTTTTTAAAACCGCTCATTATGTACTGCCCTGAGTTAGTGTCGCTGACCGTTGCTGGTGAGTCTGAGCTCGTGTCCCCTCTCCTGCCAGGAGCTGGACAGCCCCTTCAGACTGTACGGGCTCACGATGAACCCCCTGCTCTACAACATCACGCAGGTCGTCATCCTGTCGGCCGTGTCCGGCGTCATCAGTGACCTGCTTGGCTTCAATTTAAAGGTAAGGACTGGCAGGTGGCTTTTATTCCTTGGTGTCCCATCGCATTTTTGTGACTTTCATTTTACCCTAGCATTCTTTTCAGACCTCACATGCACAGGAACAGAGTCATTTTGATTATATTGTATAAAAGTAGTGAAAATAACTTCACATGTAATTTCAAAGAGTGATAAATATTCCTGGTTTATAGTTCTGATGGAACTCCTAACCTGGAACAGGATTCATTACAAATAGGACTCTCTTGTGTGGGATAAATGGAGGCATCTATTTTTACTCATATAATCTGAAGCTAATTTAGATGAGAGAAAAAGAAGATCCCTATTTCTTTTTTTTGCCAAAAGTTATATTAATTATCTATATAGCAAGGCATACATCCTCTAACATATGCACAGCTGTTAGTGAATACATACTAGAATATTCATATTAAACAAGTAGTATATGTATATTGTCACTTCCCAGTAAAAGAAAGTAAGAGAAATCTGATTTTCACGTTTTTATTTGTTTAAGATGAATTCTTGAAAAATAAGTGGATAAAGGAATTTGAAATGGTAGAATCTACAATCGTTTATGAATGAAATTCAGATGAAAATAGTATGTGACAAAATTTAGCAAGTGGCGATATAAAAAACTGGCCCTAATGGTCACTGCGTCTCTTACTTTTTCACTAGCTGTGGAAGATTAAATCATGACAACTCAGAGAAAAGAAGATGTGGCGTCTTTTCCGGAACAAGAGTACCAGCCACGCTGCCTGAGAGCCGTCACTCACTCTGCTCCAGGAGCTCAGCCGGGAAGCGGAAGTGTTTACATCAGACTGTCTTGTGCAATCCTTATATTTATTTTACTTGTTCACTGTTTTTTACATTTATTTTAGTCTTTATATTTTATTCGTAGCATTGATGTACTTAGTTGTTGAAAGGGTGATAAAACTGATATCAAGATACTTGAGATCCTGGTAATTGCTCATAAATCATCGACAAAGTAACGAATCGTGACAATAGAAGCCATTGCTAAACACTGTTTCTCCATCAATGCCGTGAACTTGCCTTACTTGAGGAAAACTCCTTTAACTTTGGAATATTGCGTTGGACTCAGCTGAACACACAGAGCGTTTTCTTCGGTGAATCAAGATTCAGTCAGGGTTTCTCTGGAGTTGTCTCGGAACAATGCCAGGATCGACACTGATTAAGCTGCAGTTGAGGCACCCTTCAGTATTAATGTAGAGAGTGTCCCATACAGGTCAACAAGTGCTCTTGGATGGAGAAACTCTTAGTAGAGCAATAATTGTAAATGGTTCCCATACTGTAAGATATTTTGATAAAAATTAACTAGTAATAATTGTATTTATTTGAAACACTGGGCTGTTTGCACAGCTCCAGCTGTGCATGCTCAAAATGTGCACTTTTTAAAACTGTTACTTTTAATGCGTATCTTTCTATGGGCGATGTTCTAGTGTGCTAGGGCATGATACGGTATCCTTCTGAGTGAGGTTTCCACTCCTCTCACAAGGGAAGTGCCTATTGACATTACTAGAGTACGTTACGTTTACTCAAGTGGAATAATCTTCTCCCCATGGTACACTCTGGTGTATGCTGTTCATACCACACAGATGAACACCTTAAGAATAAGGTTACAAACCGATAAAGGACTCCTCTGATTGCTAGTTATAAAACAGTATCCCAATTTTCAGGAAAGACAGCTTCAGCTTGCAAATTTTGTCCTCTAAGCTTAACCTGGTACCATCCACACCCCCCCCCCCCCCCCCATTATAGAAGGGCTATTTTAGATGCTTTTAATCTGGAAAGTTAACCCCCTTCCCCCGAAATAATTTGCCAAGTCTCCAAATGAGAACTTATCGTGTTGGCATATTAGGTAAATAGGGCGAATATGATGGTGTCTTACATTGGGCCTTGATTTTAAGTTGTTATATTTGTACAATCAAGAATATTTTAGGAATTACATGAAACATGAAATGTTTTTGGAGTTTTTTTTTTTAACCAGGTGTCTAGTTTCTAAAACAAAGAATTTATTTGAAACAATCTAGAATTTTCTTGGTGCAAGATATACCATGTTGAATATCCTCACATTTTTTACCATGTTTTAGGGAATTTAAAATAATGAATCGTAAATGATTTATTTGACTGGTGCAGTTGTAATCCCCGAGTCATAATCTTCGGGTCAGGAATGTGTAGAGAACAGAGCCCCATCCTGGTGCCGCTTTGCTCTCACCATTCCTCTTGACCATCCTCATTCAGACTCATCGTGTAGTGTATTTTCTTTCTGTAGAAAACGGCAAAAGCATTTTGTTTTGTTTGCCTGTGTTCTAATATGTTTCATAATGACCAAAGTGCATTCTGAGTTTTTTCAAGGAATGTATTACTGGAGCTTTAAGAACATACTTATTTTCTCATGTGAAAAATTAGGCTTTGTCTGATGTTTCTTCTTCCTCTATTGTCTAATGTTGAGGTTGTTTTTAAGAATTATATTTTATAAACTTTTTCAAAATAAGGTACATACCTATACAGAACTTAACATTTTGCACAGAATATATCAAATATATTTTGAGAAAAAAGTACAGCATGAGTTCTGTTAGGAATAAAAGAGAAATTATTGTATCTCACACACACAAAAATACTTAATTCAGAATGGAAATATTTTTGAGAAAAGTAGCTGAGTATACTGATTTAGGAAAATGCTTGTTTTGGATTGAAGTTCATTTTAACTTAGAGTTGGGAGTTGATTTATTGAGTACAGTGTACCTCTCAACACCTTATTAATAATATGTTGAATTATGTCACTAATGTGGGCAGCAGAATACTAATAGGAAAAACTGGTCATTTTAAACGGTTTCAGAACATAAATGGAATTGTCTTCAAAGGAGAAAAATTGACGTTGCTGCCTTTAAGAGTACCATGAATGTAAGAAGTGGAAAGAATTGTAACATATGACGTAATATAGAAACAGCAGTACAGAGGTAGAATTGTGGCAGATGTGGTGTGTTAACTGTGGTTTCTTTGCCACATGTGTTGTATTTGAAAGTTTGAACAGCAATTTTAAAATAAAACATTCTATGACTGACAGTGTTAAACTGGAGGTGTTTTTTAAGAATTTTCAAGTCGTATACATTTCCATGGTAATTTTTTGTTTACTATAGCATAAACTTTAGTTGTAACTGTTAGATTTGAGGGGAATGGAAATAAATTTTTTTAAAACTTCCCAACACGTCCCCACCCAGTGCTCCAGCCCCACAATCGCCCAGGGCATGGCGCAGAGAGAGAGGTGGCAGCTGGTGGAGCCCCATGAGCACCCGGAAGTCCACATGGAGAGAGGCAGCAGTTGGGGGAGGCACGCAGCTGTAAGAAAGTGCCCCTTCCCCCACCTCTCGCTCCAGTCCTGCGATAGCCCAGAGCTCCACACAGGGAGAGGAGCAGAGGTGGGAGAGGAGCAGAGATGGGAGAAACACAGGGAGAGAAGAGCAGCCTTCCCCCTGCCCAAGGCTCCAGATCTGCCATCAGCCAGAGCATCTCACCCTGAGAAAAGCAGTCATTGGCCGGAGCTTGGGAGGCCCTGATCATGCTGGGCCGGAATTCACAGCTCCTGAGCCCCACCCAGTGTAGGCACGTGGCAGCAGCAACCAAATAACACCATGCGGAGCCAAAAATCCACACCATTAAGCAGTATGAGAAAGTATATTAAATCTCCAGACCAGAAGGAAAATGACAAGGACCCAGAAACCAACCTTGAAGACACAGAAATCCATAACCTAAATGACAAAGAATTCAAAATAGCTGTTGTAAAAAAAAAAACTCAACAAGTTACAAGAAAACAGACAAATTAACGATTTCAGGAGTTTCTTCACAAAGGAGATGGAAACCATAAAGAAGAACCAATCAATTGTTGGAGATGAAAAGCACAGTGGATGAGGTTTTTAAAAATCTAGATTCTGTAAACAACAGAGCTGGCAGTGTGGAGGCCTGAATTAGCAATTTAGAGGCCAGTACTATAGAAATGCTTCAGTGGGAGGAGAAGAGAGAACTAAGACTAAAAAGAAATGAAGATGCTCTCAGAGAAATATCCAACTCAATTAGGAAATGCAACATAAGGATTATAGGTATTCCAGAGGGGAAGAGAAGGAGAATGGAGCAGAAAGCTTGTTCAAACAAATATTAGCAGAGCACTTCCCAAACCTGGGGAAGGAGGTGGAAATCCACAGGAAAGAAGCTACCAGAACTCCCAACTAGGTCAACGTTTAAAAAGACCTACAGCAAGGCATATAGTAGAAAAACTGGGAAAAGTCAATGACAAAGAAAAAACATTAAGGGCAGCAAGGCAGAAGAAAACTTACAAAGGAACCCCTATCAGGCTTTCAGTGGATTTCTCAGCAGAAACCTTACAGGCTAGGAGAGAGTGGAATGATGTATTCAAAATCCTGAAAGAGAAAAACTTTCAGCCAAGAATATTCTATCCAGTGAAAATACCCTTCAGATATGATGGAGAAATGAAAACTTTCCCAGATAAATGGCAGCTAAGGGAGTTCATCACCATGAGACGCCCCCCACCCCATACACACACACACGAAATCCTCAAGAAGACCTGCATACCTGAGAAGAAAAAAAAATTAAGAAAGGGGCTACAAAGCCCTGAGCAAGGAGATGAATAGTGAGGCAGTAATCAGAAAATGGCAACTCTCTCTCAGGTCAGGTTGGTAAACATTTAACTTTTACGTGAAGGATAAAGAAAAGGAAAACACCAAAATAAAAATAATCTCATCATCTTCGCCACAAACTCACAATACAAGATGGAATAAGATATGACAAAAATAACTTAGAAGGGTAAGAGGAAAGTGGGCTATCTCATCTACAAGATTTTTTATACAAACCTAACGGTAACCACTAAACAAATAATTAGAACAGAGACATAGATGATAAACAAGGAGAAAATGAAGAAAACCAACATAGAAAACTACCTAACTGAATTGATAGTCTGAAATACACAGGACAAGAAACAAAGGAAATGCAGAAGAACCAGAAAACATGAGATAAGATGGCAGTATTAAGCCCTCATATATCAATAATCACTCTAAATCTAAATGGATTGAATTCTCCAATCAAAAGACACAGAGTGGCTGGATGGATTAAAGAACCAGACCCAACAATATGCTGCCTCCAGGAAACACATCTCAGCTCTAAAGACAAACATAGGCTCAGAGTGAAGGTATGGACGGTGATACTCCAAGCTAATGGCAAACAAAAGAAAGCAGGTGTTGCCATACTTATAGCAGACAAACTAAACTTCAAGATAAAACAGGTAAAGAGAGACATAAAGGGTCAGTATACAATGATAAAAGGGACTCTCCAGCAAGAAGACACAACACTTATTAACACTTATTAATAATATCTAGGCACTCAACACAGGAGCACCAAAGTACATAAAGCAGCTATTAACAAACCTAAAAGGAGATATTAGCAAAAACACAATAATAGTGGGAGACCTCAACACCCCTCTTACTTCAATGGACAGATCATCCAGACAAAAATTCAACAAGGAGATAGTGGAATTAAATGAAAAACTAGACTACATGAACTTAATAGATATATAGAGAGCACTCCATCCAAAAACAGCAGAATATATGTTCTTCTCAAGCACACATGGCACATTCTCAAGGATAGACCATATATTGGGAAACAAGGCAAACCTCAATAAATTTAAGAAGATTGAAATCATATCTACTATCTCTTCTGACCATAATTTTGTGAAACTAGAAGTCAACTACAGGAAAAAAGCTGGGAACGGAACAAAAATGTGGAGACTGAACAACCAATGGGTCATCAAAGAAATAAAGGGAGAAATAAAAAAGTATTTGGAGACGAATGAGAATGAAGACACACCACACCGACTCATATGGGATACAGCAAAAGTGGGCCTAAGAGGGAAATTCATAGCAAGATAGGCCCAGTTGACAAACAAGAAAAAGCTCAAATAAATAATCTTAAACTACCACCCAAAAGAATTAGAAAAAGAAGAGCAAACAAAGCCAAAATTCAGCAGAAGGAGGGAAATAATAAAAATTAGAGCAGAAATAAATGGAATTGACATAGTGTAGAAAGGATCAATGAAACAAGAAGTTGGTTCTTTGAGAAGATAAATGAAATTGACAAACCCTTAGCCAGACTCAGGAAAAAAGAGAAGACTCAAATAAATAAAATTAGAAATGAAAGAGGAGAAACTATAACAGATACCACAGAAATACAAAAGATTATAAGAGAATATTATGAAAAACTATATGCCAACAAACTGGACAATTTAGAAGAAATGGATAAATTCTTAGACTCTTACAACCTTCCAAAACTGAATCAAAAAGAAATAGAGAGTCTGAGTAGAAGAATCACAAGAAAAGAGAGAGAAACAGTTATCAAAAACCTCCCCCCAAATAAAAGTCCAGGCCCAAATGTCATCTCAGGAGAATTCTAATAAACCTTCAAAGAAGATTTATTACCCATTCTTCTCAAACTATTCCAAAAAATTGAGGAAGATGGAAATTCTATAAGGCAACATCACCCTGATCCCAAAGCCAGACAAGGACAACACAAAGAAGGAAAATTACAGAGCAGTGTCAATGATGAACATGGATGCAAAATTCCTCAACAAAATATTGGCAAACCGAATACAGTAACATATTAAAAAGATCAGGGGCTCGCCCCGTAGCTGAGTGGTTAAGTTCGTGTGCTCTGCTTTGGTAGCCCAGGGTTTTGCTGGCTTTGATCCTGGGCGCGGACATGGCACTACTCATCAGGCCATGCTAAGGTGGCGTCCCCATGCCACAACTAGAAGGACCCATAACTAAAATATACAACTAGGTACTGGAGGGGTTGGGGGAGAAAAAGCAGGAAAAAAAAAAGATTGGCAACAGTTGTTACCTCAGGTGCAAATCTTTAGGAAAAAAAATCATACACCATGATCAAGTGGGATTCATACCAGGGGTGTTCATACCAGGGATGGTTCAACATCCACAAATCAATCAATATGATACACCACATTAACAAAATGAGGGGAAAAAACCACCTGATAATCTCCATAGATGCAGAGAAAGCATTTGACAATATCCAACATCCATTCATGCTAAAAACTCTCAATAAAATGGGTATAGAAACAAAGTACCTCAACGTGATAAAGGCCACAGATGACAAACCCACAGCCAACATCATGCTCAATGGGAAAAACTGAACGCCATCCCTCTGAGAACAGGAACAAGACAAGGATGCCTGCTCTCACCACTCTTATTCAACATAGTACTAGAAGTTTTGGCCTGAGCAATTAGGCAAGAAAAAGAAATAAAAGAAATACAAATAGGTTCTGAAGAAGTGAAACTCTCACTGTTTGCAGACAACATGATTTTATATATAGAAAACCCTAAAGAACACATTGGAAAACAATTACAAATAATCAACAGCTACAGCAAAGTTTCAGGGTACAAAGTCAACTTACAAAATTCAGTGGCATTTCTATACTCTCATAACGAACTAACAGAACAAGAACTCAAGAATACAATCCCGGGGCCGGCTCCATGACTGAGTAGTTAAGTTCACTCACTCCACTGCAGCCCAGGGTTCGGATCCTGGGCGCAGACATGGCACCACTCTTCAGGCCACATTGAGGCGGCATCCCACATCCCACAACTAGAAGGACCTGCAACTAAGATATACAGCTATGTACAGGGTGTTTGGGGAGATAACAAACAATAAAATATCTAGGAATAAATTTAACCAAAGAGATGAAGGACTTATACAAGGAAAACTGTAAGACATTACTGAAAGAAATCAATAGTGACATAAAGATATGGAAAGATATTCCATGCACATGGATTGGAAGAACAAACGTAGTTAAAATGTCCCTACTACTAAAAGCAATCTACAGATTCAATGCATTCCCAATCAGAATCCCAATGACATTCTTCACTGAAATAAAATAAAGATTCTTAAAATTCATATGGGGCCACAACAGACCCTGAATAGCCAAAGCAATTCTGAGAACAAGAACAAAGCTGGTGGCATTGCAATCTCTGACTTCAAAATATATTACAAATCTATA